CAAGTGTGGTTGATATAGATAACAAACAAGCAGCCCAAAAAGAAAAAAAGAAAAATAGATATCCATATATGTATAGTACACAAAAAGTTGGATCAATTAAACATATAATAATTAGCCAAAAAGAAAGTAGAAATTAAGCATGTCCATGACTCATCCTGTGTCAGCAGCAAATAGGAAAGCATTATGGTTTCCTAAAGGCAGCTGACACCAGGGGGCGATACCTTATGGGCCATAGGCATGTAAAATGTGTTTAAATGTCTCTTTCCTACCTGTATCAAAAGCAAACAAGGAAGCATCATAGGTAACTTGAATGCAGTTGATACCAGGGGACGATGCCTCAAGGATATAAGAGAACATTTGAATAAATAATATATCTTAACAATTATTATTTTTTTTAATCGGCTAGTATGTTTGTGATATTCAGATGAATATAATTTTCTATGTCCAATCAAATGTATATTCACACATAGATTTCCTTTAACTAATCTTCACTAAGGAAGATGTTTGTATATAAAATTACATATTATTTTAAGTAACTCAACATTTTCTACACTAAATAACCAGATAATTTTGCTTTGACTGCTCATATGATTAAAATAAGAATTATATTTTGCAATACTAGCTAACATACAATTTCTACCATGATCCTCAAATTTGAAAATGAGCCTCATCTTCGACAGTATTGGAAGAACATTTATTACATATTCTGTTAATTCGGGGAATACCCTGATATCTACCTAATTCTATTTGTAATCTATGAGAAGATACACGTAATTTAGTAAAACTTCTTCTAAGTTCAAAATTCTTGATCAATGTTAGATATTTTTCAAAACCAAAATTTGTTTTATATAAAAGGTAGGTTTTCAGTTTACTGTCTGAAAATTTATCTATTTGTTTTTTCCAACAGCTAATAAACAATATTGATAGCTTGGTTTGTATATATTTCTTAAATTTGTATAAGGATTCACAAAATGGAGCATTTATGGCATTTGTATAGTCAATACCAAGTATTTTAAAAATAACATTTATTGAACCATACCATGATGTTATATTCTTGTGATGTAGTGTCTTTGATTGTGTATATGCCTCTTTTAATAGAGGAAAATTATTACCTAAATTTTCTAATCTATACCAGTACAATAACATTCCTTTTATAATATTAAAATATATTGGAAATCTTCCAAGTTCAGATAACACTGCAGCATTTGTTGTTTTCTTGTGTACCCCAAGTATAAATTTACAAAATTTTATATGAAGTTTCTCACAGGGTAAACCTGAATATAATTTTTCAAAAGATATATCTTCCTTCTTACATTTAGAGGAAAGAGAATTAAACATCCCCCATATTTCGCTACCATATAATAAAATAGGTTTTACAGTGTGGTCAAAAACATGAATACTTGTTTTTACATCAGGATTAAGTGATAAAAGATCTTTCCTTAATTTGAATAAGCTTTCAGGGATTTTTTGTATAGTTCATTTTGAGCATAACTGAATGATCCAGATGAGCTTAAATATAAACCTAGGTATTTGTATTTTGAAACACATTCCAGATTTATATTCTGAAATGTGAATATCTGTTTTACATGTCTGCCTGCCTTGTTGAAAATCAACACCTTTGTCTTATTAGTATTCACATTGAGACACCAATCTTTGCAAAATTTATCAAGCATTCCCAGCTTTTCTCGTAGTCCTTCAGCTGATGTAGATAATAAAACAATATCATCCGCATACATTAAACAATGTAGATCTTTGTCATTGACATTAACTGGGTCTCTACTATCTGACAAATATCTGGGCAAATCATTTATGAATATCTTGAATAAATCAGGACTGAGGTTGTCACCTTGTTTGACTCCAATATCTAATGGGAAAAAATCACTTACTTGATTTTGAATTCTGACACATGATTTGCTAATTTCATACATACTTTTAATAATGTTATAAAAATAAGACCCAACCCCAATATCTAGTAATTTAATCTTGATCCCTGTATGTATAACAGTATCAAAAGCCTTCTGAAAATCAACAAAACAGACAAACAGTCTACCTTCTTTTGAATTACAGTATTTGTTAATAAGACAGTTTAAAATAAACATATGATCTGCAGTTCTGGCTTTCCTTATGAATCCAATTTGACTATCATGTATAATATTATGTTCCTGAAGAAATTTGTCCAGTCTTAGACTGAATATTCTATTAAAAAGCTTTCCAATTGCACTTGTTATTGTTATTCCTCTATAATTGTTAGGGTCACTTGTATCGTTGCTTTTAAAAATTGGTGTAATATAACCTTCAGCCCAAGATGTTGGGTATATACCTGAAGACAGACAAGTATTAAACATCTGTTGAAAGCTTTTTAAAAGGAAAGTCTGTCCATTCTTTATCATATTATTACTAATGTTATCCAAGCCTGATGATTTATTGCATTTTAAGTGTGAAATGGCTTTGGATATTTCAGACTCAGTGATAACGGAGTCCAACTCGTTGAAACATTTTGAGTTTTCTAACTGTTTCAATTTTTCACATAGCTCTGTATATCTACTTTGAAATTCACCTTTCAGTTGTGACAACTTTTGGAAATGTGATATCAAAGTTGATGGTTGTACTCCACATTTTTTTTGTTTTTCATTTTTTTCCTGTAGTTCATTAATTAAGTTCCAATACAGTTTTGGATTCTCTTCGTGCAAGGAGTCCAGCTGACTAATCAATGATTGTTTGTATTGTTTGTATTAATATTTCCTTAGTTTGGAGTATTCACGATTCAGTTTATAAAAGTGATTTTTGATAATTGGATCATATGGAAATCTTGAATAAATTTTTCCATAATTAAGCAAGTTAGTTCGAGCTTGTTGTAAACTTGCGTCAAACCACTTTTTGTTTTTTTGTTTGTTTGTGTGTTTTTTTAAAGGTCGTTTAAGTGATAGATTTGCTGCTGATAAAAAGATGTTTGAAAGTTTTGATGATGCTTCATCTACTGATGTCTGAGTAAATTGAATTGTGCTGTTGTTGAATTCTAGTATGTAGTTTTGTAGTTTATCTGAAGAAAGTGTTTCTTGAAATTTTATTGCTGAACAGTCAGTCCAGATATAATAAGGTGTCATATTTTTCAACTGGATTGGAATATCATTTTCTCCAGGAACACAATATTTTGCAGATAATTCCCACTCAAGTTTACAATGACAATCAGATAATGTGGGAATAAATCTGGATACTTTAAAATACAGTACATTTTCAAGAATTTCTTCCGACACAGCAACATAATCAACCACACTTGCACCACTGGGGGTATAGCAAGTAAAATTACCAAATGTATCACCAAAAACTCTGCCATTTAAAATTCTTATTTGTTTACTAATGCAAAAATCCAAAACTTCTTTGCCTCTTTGATCAATTTTTTGGTCTCGACTTTTTCTTGTCATAATGTTTTTGTCAGTAGGATATGTATAAAAAATTGGAGTAAATTTTGAATCATCGTTTACTATAAAGTCATTTTCAGAGCCTATTCTGGCATTAAAATCTCCACATAACAAAATTTCACCCATTTTCTTATACTGAAAGATATCTTTTTCTATGCATTCAAAAACATCAGAAGAGAGTTCTTGGGTATATTTAGACGTAACAGGGGGGTTGTACAGTACACAAATAAATAGGTCACTTTTAAATCCAAAAAAGGATTTTTCTAATTTAATCCATTGATAATCTGGATTACTGTTAATCAATATTTTGACATGAGGTTTAACGTGACTTTTCTGTAGAATTGCTATACCCCCAAAATGACGGTTATTATTTGATAATTTTCTACATATTGGATGATAATGAAATTTACCAATATTGTGTATTTGGGAATTATATCCCACATGAGTTTCGACTAAAAAAACAATGTCGTAATTCTCTATATGTTTCAGAAAAAGGGGATCCTCTGCTTTATTCATGCCCTTTGAAAATAAGCCACCTATATTCCAATAACCAAATTTTACAGATGATTGGTTTGATTTTGGCATTTTGGTGGATACAATTAAAACATTGTTTATAATTTATTCAGTTTGAGTTATTTCCGTTTGAACAGAAAATTATATGGATAAAATTAAACTGTGTTTCATTTCAACATAAATTAAATATATATAGGGTTCTTTCAAATGCTGAATCTAAACCTGTATTTAAATATTAGATTTTTGGGCCAAGTTTTCAAGTTGGTCCAAATCAGGGTCCAAATTTAAACTTTGTTTGATTCAACAAAAAATTAATTTATCGGGTTCTTCGAAATGCTGAATCTAACCATGTATTTAGAGATTTTGGATTGTGGTCTCCTTTATCAAATTGGTCCACATTGAGGTCCAAAGGGTCCTAGATTAAACTTTTGTTTGATTTCATCAAAAATTGAATTCTTGAGGTTCTTTGATATGCTGATTCTAACAATGTACTTAGATTTTGGATATTGGACCATAATAGGTAAATGTCCGATTTCAAATTATTCAGTTCTTTGACCACATTCATTTTGTGTCACAAACCTATGCTGTGTTAAATATTCAATCACAATCCAAATTCAGAGCTGTTTTAAGCTTAAATGTAGTGTCCATACTTGCTCAACTGTTCAGGGTTCGACCTCTGCAGGAAATCCGGTTTGCTGTCACACTGACAGCCTCTTGTTATAGTTTGTTCTTATGTTGTACTGTTACTTCACTGTCCCAGGTTAGGGGAGGGCGTGCCTGTCAGTCTCAAGTCAGGAGCCTGTAATTCAGTGGTTGTCGTTTGTTGCTGTGTTACATCTCGATGCCCGCTAACATCTCGAGCGTATTCGAAAAAGGAGACAAACACGCACCAGAAAATTACAGATCGGTATCACTAACATCTGTTCCGTGTAAAATACTAGAACACATCATCTGTAAGCACATGCTAAACCACCTAGACAAACACAGGGTAATAACATCACTAAACAATGGATTCAGATCCGGGTACTCGTGTGAAATACAGCTACTATAGTCACACTGCACAACTTCATGAAATCACACGATGCTGGTAACCAATTTGATGTTGCTTTCCTGAACATTTCGAAAGCATTTGACACCGTGCCACTCAACAAATTATTACACAAACTAGATGAATATGGTGTGAGAGGGCCACTGAATAAATGGCTTGAAATGTTTCTCACTCAGAGAAAGATGAAAGTTGTCATTGATGGAGAGGAATCTGAAGAAGCTACAGTGGACTCAGGAGTTCCACAAGGAACCTTACTCGGACCACTTCTCTTCCTCTGTCATATCAATTTAACGACCTACCATATATGCATTAAAACGATCAACCGTTAGGCTTTTTGCTGATGATTGTCTGCTATACAGAAACATAAAAACAAGATCTGGTTAGCCTAGAAAAATGGGCCAAAGACTGGGGTATGCGCTTTAACGCAAAGAAATGTTACATTCTGAGCATTAAGAACAAAAGCCAGAAATTCTACACCCTCGATGGACACATACTCCAACAAGATCAACACAATCCATACCTGGGGCAACAGATATCAGAAGACCTAAAATGGACCACCCACATTTCAAATGTAGCCAAGAAAGCAAATTCAACACTTGGCTTTCTAAGACGCGACCTACAATTCTGCCCAAAAGACTGCAAGAAAACAGCCTACATCTCATTAGTAAGATCTACAATGGAATATGTGGCAATTGTATGGGACCCATATACAACAAACAACATCAACCAACTAGAAAGGATCCAGCGTAGAGCAGCGCGTTTCAAACATCACAGGGGATTACAAATCTAAAGAAGAAGGATCGGTCACCAAAACGCTTACCGTACTGGAACTAGCAAACCTGCAGTCCAGAAGAACAAGCCAAAGACTGGTATTTCTGAACAAAGTGGTTGAGGGTTTGGTCCAAGTGTAAATGCTCTATTGTTCCGACGTTGGAAAGTTCCGGGCGGAAAGAACTAACTAGCCGAAAAGTTCCGGAGGAACGTATTAACTAGTTACTTTGTTCCTAATCTGGTTTAAAAGTTCCACCGGAACAAAGTGACTAGTTGAAAAGTTCCAACGGAACATATCAACTAGTTAGAAAGTTCCTTTTTGCCAAATTAGTCAAAACCGGAACTAACAAACTAGCCCAAAAGTTCCAACGGAACTTATCAACCAGTCACAAAGTTCCATTTGGAGAATTGATGCAAAGTAAATGCGCAACATATTATTTTTGAACCTTTTCATAGGGGAACAAAGATACTAGCCACAAAAGTCAAACGGAACTTATCAACTAGTCACAAAGTTCCTCTTTGATGAAAACGTTGTTGATGATGATGATGATGATGACGACGACGACGACGATAACGACGATGAGGATGATGAGGATGATGATAATGACGATAAGGATGATGTTGAGGATGATGATGATCATGTGGATGCACATGACGAAGATGAGGAAGAGAGTGTATTCAAAACTCAGGACACGTTTCAATTCCAAGAAGATGATGAAAGTCAAACAGATATAGAATTGAACGAAGTTGCGCAACCTGGTCCATCTAGACCAAAAAGAAAAAAGAAATGTTAGAAAGAACAGCATGTATGAATATTTCTAAAAATGATTTGACTTGTTTACTAGTGTTGAATCTGATATTAAATATGATATTTCCATTGCATTTATTCAATATCTTTAATACAATGAGTTATTAAAGCAAAGTGGACACACGTTCACTTTTCAGTAACACATTTTAGTTTTCATTTGATATACATAACTATGAAGTACATATTGTCCAACTAATTGTTTGTTACGGTGGAACTTTCCAACTAGTTGGTTTATACCGAGTGTAGTGAAAAGTTATTATGATATGCTGGAAAAAAATGACTAGCTGATTTGTTCCGGAACGATGTAACTAGTTGTTCTGTTCCGCCAGAACTATTCAACTAGCTACATTGTTCCGGAACTTTTCAACTAGCTACTTTTTTCCGGAACTTTTCAACTGCACTCGGAATAAAACAACTAGTTGGAAAGTTCCATCGGAACGAAATAACTAGTTGAAAAGTTCCGCCGGAACAAAGTAACTGCCGGAACATAGTGGCTGTTACACAAGCTATCAAACCTGACGATTTTTTGGTAAAAAGCAAAACCAAAAGGATTGTCAAGCCGAAACGCTTTGTAGACTTTGAAAGCACTAATATAGTAAACAACTCGGCCAAGAACAACTCAAAGGAAATTGATACAATAAATTGCAAAACCGAGCAATTTAAGAACTTATTCTTCGTTAAGACTGTGATTCATTGGAACCAACTGGAAGAAGATATAGTGTGCGCCAAGTCAGTCGAGAGCTTCAAAACAGCTCCCCAACACCGTCAATAGGTGCTCTCTCTCCCGTTGAGGTAAAGCCAGAGTTTTTACCTTCGACGTAACGATACAGATACAGATACAGATACATATTTTTTTTGTTCATTATTTTGTGCATAAATTAGGCCGTTAGTTTTCTCGTTTGAATTGTTTTACATTTGTCATTTCGGGGCCTTTTATAGCTGACTATGCGGTATGGGCTTTGCTCATTGTTGAAGGCCTTACGGTGACCTACAGTTGTTAATTTCTGTGTCATTCTGGTCTCACAATCATACAACATCTTCTTTTTTTATCAGTAATAACTCCTTGAAAAAAAAATGAATTATAATTTCCTGTCGAAATCATGGCACATCTACATAGCATGTCCTTAATCATTATCTACAAAGTTTCATGAACTTCTGTTGTGTGGTTTCAGAGGAGTTGCGATGACAAGAACAGGACTGACGGAATGACAGACGGACGGACGGGTCAAAAACATTATACCCTACACAACTTTCTTGCATGGGTATTATAATGGACAAAATGTTTTTATCTTCATTTCCCATTAACCAAATGAAAAGATATCTATTATCAAGTTTTGAAATATTTTTATTTTTACTAAATAATTTGCTTAAAAAGGGATTTCTAACATTAACCAAATCTTTACATGTTAAAAGAAAATGCATCTTAATTTCTATTTCCTCATTACAGACTGCGAGCTTGTATATTCTATTTTCAAGTTTAATATTAAAGTAACGATCTTTTTCTATTTCAAGTTTGTTACCACAAATTCTAAATTTTGTTAAAACACATCTTTTAAGATATGGTAATTTCAATAAGTATGGCACAAAAATAAAGTTTGGTTTGAATAATCGATAAGTACTAAGTTTATTTCTATGTCTTATTTTGTATTTTATCATTAAATAACTCTTTCTTCCATATGTTACAATATTGTGGATATACTTTATTTTCACCATATTTCAGTTAATGTTTGTTTTAGATGAGAGTACTTGATACTCTTGTAAATCCTCGTGTAAATCAAACAATTTCAGGATGGAATATAACTATTCCAAGAATCCTTCTCACCCAAAGTTTTGATAATGTGGGGTAATGTTATATCAGGGACTTTCTATTAAATTATGCGCAATCAATTATTTAATAAATAATATATATAGATATATATATATATATCAATAAGTCTTTTTATATTTTTTGATCGAAATATTTATTCAACATTTCTTCCATAACCTACAACTCATATCATGATATATTAATGAGAGAGAGCGAGAGAGAGGTTTTCTATTCATGCATTTAATAGTGGGTAATGCTGTTTTATAAATGGTCCCAAACATTCTGAACATTTTTTAAAAATGTGATTCGGGTAGCCAGAGACATATATACACATGTGTATATATGTCTCTGGGGTAGCCAAGATGGGTGATGTATTTAGGTTCACCATTTGGGTAGACAACTCTTACGACACATGTGTGGAAAGGTCAAGGTTACTCTTGGACGGACCAAATTTTGACTTTAGTAACCTTCAGCTGTTCAATCAAAACAGCAAAATGTCATCAAAAGAAACAATTCCTACTGGAGTGAAGTTTATATTTGGAGGTGGAGGAGGGTAAGTTTTTATCTTGAAGGTAATTATACAAACGATACATTATATTTCAGATCTGATCACGTTTCAAGTGCCGGATCACCGATACGACTCGTTACTGACAGGATATCCTTTGGATGCCCTATGTGGAAGAACCCCAAATGCCCTCCTCTCCCCTCCCTCAATCCCCTTTTCCCATGTAGAATCTCTAAAATTAGTTTTCATTTAACTTTTTTTAAATTGTTTTTTTTTTACTTGGAAAGAAACGTTGAAGAATAACAGATTTTGTTCACTATTAGATGGTTCATTTGACATCCATTCTAGTTGAGGACCAGTTACTGTTACCATGAATTTCAGTGACGGATCCAGGGGGTCCAGACGTTTGAACCCCCATGTCATGAAGTCATGTTTGCGAAAGTTCTTAATGTGTGTTTTTGATTTGTCAAATTATCAAATCACCTTTTTCGATAGTTCTCATCGCATGTTGATTGGTCCAAATAATGAGTCACATCTGTGTTTTTTTTCTCAATTTTATAGGACCAGTAAATTTCTGGAAGAACAAGTTAATTTAGAAAGGAGTTGACCCACTTGGCCAGTTAAAATAAAAACTTATTTCTATCCCTGAACAGTATAAAACAGATTTATTTATTTAAGAATCAATTTCTATGATCCCCTTAAATGCAATGTTACTTGTTGAATTCAGGTGACACTAATTCTATAAGTTCAGATTGAGTGAATGTCTGAGGAATCAGAATTGATGGACGGAACGACGATAAAGTTGGTTCATTTGGCAAACATCCTTCCCTTTTTGCCTCAAACTACCAAAATATGACAGTGAGTGATTTTCAAATCAATAGGAAATTTCAAAAATTTAGAAACTAGATTCATACATGTTAGTGACGGTAACTGGTCCTCTTACCCATAAATTTTCAGGCAAAAATCAGCTCACTAGTAACACACTGTTTATAAGAGGAATTAAAGTTCAAGTATATGGTTCTTCCCTGTGTACAATGTACATGTAGTTTTAGTAACCATTTTCATGTTAAAAGAATAGTTCCAAAAAGGATTTCCTGTTAAAAAGTTATTTGAGAAAAACCATGAATTTCATATGCTAACTGGTACTGTACCAGTACAGCATCCTAACAAAAAAAATTATGAAACCAAAACACATGTCAACTCCAACATGTCCAATGCAAAAAAAACAGAATAGACCATTTATACCATTAAGGATCCTTAATGTTAACTGTCAGTCCATAAGGAATATACAAGACCAAATCAATTACCTCATACGGTCATAGATAGTACTAAACCAGATAGAATGATTATGACAAAAACTTGGTTAGAATCATCAATTACAAACAGCCAAATATTCCCACTAGATAAAAACATCGACCACAAGGATAGGAGAACAATAAAACTGATGGTGGAGTCCTCATAGCCTTAAACATCCAGTTTCTAAGCCCTGAATTACCAGAACTGGACACAAACTGCAAAATAATTTGGGCACAAATCCTTCAAAAAGGATCTCTACATATTCTTATACTATAATCCTAAAACATCTGACAAAGATATAGCCTACATGTATCTGAATTTGAAACATCTGACAATAGAGCTTCACTGAATAATGCATGCTAACTTATTCATGTTATAAGGGGCGACTTCAACCTACCAGGATGGAACTGATCAAACAAAACAGTCAAGGAACACAACATGCTGAATAACTCACAAACATTCTTGATGACAATTGATTAAAACAATTCGTCTAAGAGCCAACCAGAAATAAAAGAACAATAGACCTACTATCACCAACTGTCAGAGTATTATTATACATGTACATTCATACAGTTTTATGGCATTACTTACATATATATAAAAACAATATTTTCCAGGATGGCAGCCACATTGTTTGTACAACCATTAGATTTAGTGAAAAACAGAATGCAGTTAAGTGGTAAGTTTCAAACACAAATACTTCAAGTGTTCATTAATGTGAAAATAAGCAGCCTATATTTAGTATATACCAATGCAACTACATCTTGTACATTGTACTCCATTTTATCAGACAGAAATAAAATTGACCATGGAAACAAAAAGAAGTGTAAAATTTTAAGAACTGACTCCCCATGTTCATGCCATTTCTTAAATGATTAATTATTAGGACTCTTTCAAACTCAACGTGTTTAAATATATAGGATTTGATCAGAATAAAAAGGTTTCATAAAGTTTGTCGACTTTCATAAAAATGTAGGGCATTTTACTCTTTTTTTTAACTAAATCATAAGCAGAGTTCACGAAAAGTGGTGGTCCGAATGATTTGACCACCAAAATTTTGCAACATTGTGCAAAGGACCGACACAATTTTGGTATTTTGCAATAGAAATAATTGTGAGGACCAGCAGATTTTCTTCAAGGACTACCAGGAGAAAATAGGTTTCACAAACTCTGCATAAGTCCTGGCCTTGAATGGACATAATCAGAAAAATTTTCAAACCCTAAAATGTTTTTCACCAGTATGACTGAATATTAATTAATATTGTTATTATCATGATTAAAAAGTGTTCAAATTTATTAATTTATTGATTTTTTAATGTTTATTTGTATAATGTGTCTGTTTATTTATAAGGAAGCTAGGCATCAAATTCATGATCCTCACTCCTCAATCATCATTCTCTAAACAGATGAGCGTCTAAGCTGCCTCAAGAGTCTATAAGCATGATAAGCTGAGCTGATTCTAGAAGTCATGGTTTTTTAAAAAAAATGAAATCAGTAATCTGTACCTGAATTTCCTCCAGCTATTCCGTTTTGACCAGAGGACTTAAATGATATGTAAAGGTTTTGAAAAGGTTGATGTTGACTCCTCTAAGTTCTGTGGACTCCACATGACTTAAATTAAGAGGAGGAGTCTCAGAGAGTATGTTCAAACTTCAATACATATATGGAACAAAAAAAACCCTGAAATGTTGCATATAAAATTTAATTGTATTGTTCATTTTGTATAATAAGAAGGCATATTGTTTTTGCCATCCATTTGAGAATAATTTTTTTTACCACTGCATTGAGTGGGATATAATATTGACTCAAATTGAGATGATGAAATTATGAAAAAAATAAATGGGTGGTCTTGAATATTTATATCACTTGTCCATGTTGGCACACCTCACTCCTTTTCAATTTGAAAATTTTACTGTTTGAGATATTGAGTCAAGACATATCTTATCCCATTCTCGGTGGTGGTAGAATTTCTGTACGAGTCCACTTTATTTTTAAAGCTTGTTTAACGGTTAGAAAAATCACATACTATGATAGTTAAAGACTTACATTTATGATTTGCAGGTGAAATGGGTAAAACTAAACAATACAAAAACACTGGAGATGCACTTATAACTATATTGAGACAGGAAGGTGTGAGAGGAATATATACAGGGTAATTAACAGTCAATTTATTTTTTTTTCTTTATGATAAAATTATTAGCAGACCAAGGAATTGAAAATACATGTAATTATGTTTTGGTAGGATTTCTTGAAAGGAAGGAGGAGAATTATCGCCCTTTAACTACGGTCTAGTGGTGAATAGCTCTGACGAAAAAATCATAAAAAGTATCTAGTTATAGAAGAGTAAGTTATCAGAACAATGTCTAACAACCAAAACATGATACCAGAACAGCAAAATGAAAACAACAAGCAAGATTCAGATGGTAAACAATCAGAAATTGACAAGTCTCAGTCCGTTGGTAGTGACAATACTTCGGCGCCATCTTTTTCCAATGTTGTCAAACATCATAGTGTAAATTATCAGGCCTACAGCGATCCTGAACCAAAGCTAAAAGGAGTAAAACCTATCTTTATAAAAGAATCAGACTTCTTTGGCAACAAAACTCCGCCTAAAGAACTTTGGATAACACACGTAGAAATATACAAAGCACTTGAACATAAGATAAAACCACAGTTTGTAAGAGGCATTCAAAGAATAAAACAAATGTGGAGAATCTACCTAGACAGTGAGGTAGACAGAATGCTGTTGCTTACAGAAGGCATCACATTAAGAAACAAGTCGGTACCTCTGCATTCCCAGAACCCATATTACCAAAAAGATGATTACATAACAACAACAGTACGGGTAAAAAACATCCCACTATCAGCAGATGATGGTCAAATTGACAGAGAATTAAGAAAAAGAAACATAGAGGTTTTCACTATAAACAGAGAAAGACTCAGGGTTGATAACTTGGTAACCAACTGCTGGACAGGAGACAGAATAGTCATATGCAAAAAATTTGACAAACCACTCCCAAGGTTTCTTACAATAGGTCAATACACAGCAAGAATATATCACTTTGGTCAAATGAAAGATAGACATGTTCTTGTGCAACAAATGTCAAATGAAAGGTCATAATATAAAAAACTGTCCAAATAAATGGAAATGCAGACTATGCAATGAATATGGTCATAAGATGTTTGACTGCCCAACCTTTTTGGCAAAGAAGATGGGAAAAAATTCTGAAACAGAAAGAGATGAGCAACAAGAAACAACAACAGCTAATGCTGATGAAAATACAAATACCGAAGAAAGCCAACAAATTCAAGCTCTTACAGAAAATAAAAAAAGAGATGATACTGATGAACAACCTGAACTAACAGATGGAGATGACGAAGACAATCTGACACATTCAATGTCATTGAACAAAGAAATAACAGCAGCAGATGCAAAAAAAGAAAAAAAGAAGGCAAAAAAGTCTGCAAAAAAAGAAGGAAACAAAACTTCAAGTGATTCTTCTAAACAACAGACATCAAAACAGACAGAAACAAAAAGAGATTCTTCATCTGCACAATCTGACATTTCAAAATTTTTAACCCCAAACAGTAAAACGAATGCTGCCAAAGAAAGAACCCCACCTACTCCCAATCAACCAGATGGGAAAAGACAATCAGTCCATCTATAAATTATAGAAACATTTTATGTATAACAAAAAAAACAAAAAAAACAAAAAAAAAATATGTATGTTTATATGTCTTGTCTCTCTTTGTATTTATGTCTGTGTGTATTTAGTATTTATAGAAAGATAATTGAATGGAATAAAGATTCCAAAACAAATGTAACAAGAGTAAATATAAAAAAAAAAAAAAAAAAAGAAACGTGAAATTTTGCACATATTGCATTATACCATATATTTTCATGTATATGATACTATTAACAGAAGTATATTTGATAATACCAAAAACAAAAATTGTCAGAGATAAAAACACTTATATTAGAAAATTTAACCAGTCTTTTTTCTATTTAAAACCCTTTAGGTTTACAACTTTAATCTATAGTAGATGTACTCAACAAGATCAAAACAAAAGTAAAGATTTACTCACCTTAATAACTATTCTTAGTACATCTTCACAGCATAAATCCGATAAAGTAACTGAAAATAGAGAAAAGGAAAATATTATGCAAAAAGCAAATAAACAAGCTAAAAATGTTATGAAAAACAAAATATCAAAAACAAAGATCCGTTTCATCAGATTTCGAAATATTTGAAAATATAACCACATTACTAGCTGAGAAAATTAGAGACAGTATATTAGTTTTCCTCAGTCAAAACCATACATTTGTTTTAATTTGCACAAAGCAAAGAAATGTGTCAATTTGTAATTTTATTAATAGTTCTATGTATATGTTGTGTGATTTGTATTTCAGGTATGCAGTAATTGCTATGAACATATATTATATGTTTCAAAATTATCATCTCAATATTGGACAAATTCATTCGTGAAACAGACTATAACAATATTGTTGCAATCCAATTACACAAAAGAAAATTGATAAACGTAATCATTTTCACAGGTAACTCCCACGCTATAAAACGACGATTAAATGTAGGTGAAATAAAATGTACTTTAAAAACGCGACCCAACATAAAGTACACTTACTAATTAAAATAAACATAAAAATCAACTTTAAGTTACTTATTTTTTTTAATTGAAACATGTTAAATAACCTGCACATTTGTACAGCTAATGTTAAAGGACTTCGAGATAAACAAAAGAGATCGAGATTTTACCAATGGATAAAAAATCAGAAATGTAAAATATCTTTTATTCAAGAAACTCACTTCAATACATCTCTAGAAAACGTTCTAACTATCGAATCAGATCATTCTCTTTATTATAGCCATGGGACGACATCAAGCAAAGGGGTAGCTATATTGATTAATAAAAAAGTAGACTATAAATTAATAGATGAGCATAAAGATTTAGAAGGTCGAATAATCATGATAAATATCGAATTTGAAAATATAATTTATTCTCTTATAAACATATATGCCCCAAATATAGAATCTGAACGAAATAGCTTTTACAAAAAATTAAATGACTTTATAAACAAAAACGCAATAGGTACAATAATTTTAGGAGGAGACATGAATGATGCCCTTAAAAATGTAGATAGGAAAAGTTCAAATACTCGTAAAAAAGTTAGTAAACCAGTCAATAGCCTAAAAAATTTAATAAAATCAAATGACTTAATAGATATATGGAGACACGTTAACCCCCAAAAGATCCAATATACATGGAGACGTAAAAATCCAGTCCAGTCTAGTCGAATTGACATGTTCCTAGTCAAAAAAGATTTCATGTTAAACGTTAAGTCGTGTGATATTAGGCCTATTCTTATTAAAAGCACTGACCACCAAGCAGTTTCCATACAATTACAATCTGTCTCAACTGAAACTAGAGGCCCGGGTTACTGGAAAATTAATAACGGTATCCTCGACGAGCAAGATTATGAATGCAATATAAGTAAAATAATACAAAAACATAGTAATAAGATAGAAAAAAATGAAATAGATCCAAGACTTCTGTGGGACTCCTTCAAATTGGAAATAAAGGAATATAGTATTAAGTATAGTAAATTTAAAGCAAAAAATAGGAAAAATGTAACACGTAATTTAGAATCACAACTAAAAATATTATATGAGAAATCAAATAATGAGGAAAATGATTTTATAAAAGAAAAAATATCCACATTAGAAAAAGAGCTAGAAAACCAATATGAATACAAAGCTAAAGGAGCTCAAATAAGATCAAAACAAGAGTGGGCAGAAAAAGGAGAAAAAAATAACGCGTATTTCCTAGGTCTTGAAAAATCTAAACAAACGAAAAAGACAATACTTAAACTGAGAAACAATAATGGGGAAATAGTAACAGATCAAGATAAAATATTAAAGCTTGAAAGGGATTTTTATGCTAATTTATACGACACTAAACAAAAACCGGATATAGATGTTCAAAAATACATTACTGAAACAAAACGCAATTATAAATTATCAGAAGAAGAAAGTAAATCTTGTGACGGATACGTAACGCTAGAAGAATTAACTATTGCAGTCAATAATCTAAAATTAAATAAAAGTCCAGGAATGGACGGGATAAGCATTAACTTTTATAAAAAATTTTGGGGACTTCTTGGACCTCTACTTGTAAAAATTTTTAACTTTAGCTTTGAAAATATACAACTGCCATTTACGCAAAGACAAAGTTTACTGAATCTAATTTATAAAAAAAATGATCCGTTGGAACTCACAAACTACAGACCAATATCATTATTAAATAGTGATTATAAAATACTCTCCTACACTTTAGCTTTAAGAATAAAAAAAATCCTAAATCTAATCATTAATGCTGATCAAACAGGATACATCAAGAACAGATTCATAGGTTTTAATCTACGCCAAATACAAGATGTAATAGATTACGCAGATAAGTTCAATATAGAAGGTGCTATTTTATTCATAGATTTTTCGAAAGCTTTCGACACATTAGAATGGAATTTTATGTATCATACTTTAGAATATTTTGGTTTTAATAAACCCTTCATAAATTGGATAAGAACCTTGTATACAAATATAAATAGCTCTATATTCAATAACGGGTGGATATCTGCCCCTTTTGGACCCCTTAGAGGTATCCGGCAGGGATGCCCGTGCTCTTCTCTACTTTTTGTAATGTCAGTAGAAATAATGGCCAACCAACTAAGGCAAAACAAAAATATAAGAGGCATAGAATTAAAAATTGATAGTAAAACACATAGCTTGAAAATCACGCAAGTTGCTGATGACACAACTCTATTCCTCAAATCGAAAGAAGAAATCCGAACAGCATTAAATGTAATCGAAATTTTTGGAACTTTTTCCGGACTACAACTAAATAAAAATAAAACAGAAGGAATCTGGATTGGTAAACTAAAACATTGTAGAGATAAAGTAGATGAAATTAGATTCACGGATAAACCCGTAAAAGTGTTAGGAATATATTTCGGCATTAATAAAAAAGATTGTGAAAAATTGAATTGGGATACTAGATATGAAAAGAGTCGAAATCTAATTACATCGTGGAAAAAAAGAAACTTAACAATTTTAGGTAAAATTCTAATAGTTAAAACCCTCATTATACCACAATTTACTTTTTTAGCGAACGTTACAGTTTTAAGTAACTCAAATATACTTGAACTAGAAAGAGAAATCTTTAGTTTTATATGGGATGGTAAAAAAGATAAAATCAAAAGATATACATTGGTAGCAGATTACAACCAGGGAGGGCTAAATATGATCGACATAAAAAGCTACTTCTCCTCTCTTAAGATAAGATGGGTCTCTAGGTTGCTACAGGCAAAACAAGAAAATTGGACATTGATCCCAAAGCTATTTTTAAACAAATTAGGGGAAAATTACCTTATTTTTAGAATGAACTTAAATAACCAAACCTTAAAAAAACTAGATATAACTAAGGATATTCCAGATTTTTACTTAGATATAATAAAAAGTTGGATTTTAATTCATGAAACGAAAAACACAGAACTGAAAAACTTTGTCGAGATAAGAAAGCAAGTTATCTGGGGTAATAAATTTATCAAATTTCAAAACAAGCCGCTTATTATGCATAATTGGATACACAGTGATTTCATTTATCTTAATGATATTATTGACGACAATGGAAAAATTGCCCACGAAAAAATATTTAAAAAACTGCAAAACACTAAAAATTGGATTTCAGAAATTTCGATAGTCAAAAAAGCAATACCAACCTCATGGCTAAAAGTTTTAGCCAAGAAAGAATCCATCAAATCAAATGTAAATTTTAACAGATTATTTATCAATATAAACAAAGAAAACATTGAATATGAAAATTTAAGCAACAAAAAGGTATATCAATACCTCGTTCGACAAAAAATTTCCCCAAACATCGGCATAAATAAATGGAAAAAAGAACTAGAAATCAATTACAATTTTACCAAATATACGTTTAAATTTATACACCAAAATTTAAAACTGAATAAACTAAAAATGTTTAGATGGAAATTGATAAGCTGCATTCTCCCAAATGGAGAAAATCTCTACAAATGGAAAATCGAATCTAGCCCTATTGTCAACTTTGTCAACTTAAAGACACGTATCATCACTTTTTTATTGAATGTAAATTTCTAAAAGAATTTTGGGAAATTATAAATAAAATTTTATCTCAAATGAACTTTAATAAAAAAATCAACTTAAAAGATATAGTAATAGGCTACAAAATAACAGATAGCGAGTATATCGGATTCAATATAATTCTGACAATTATAGGATTTGCAATCTACAAATCGTACTATGTATCAAACCAAAGAAATAAATCTACTAATGTATTCATTCTCTTTAAATCTGAATTTGACGAATACTTTAGATCATACAATCTAGACAAAGAATACAATGCAGTCCGGGTGTTTCAAAATTTAATCTAAAGAACAGAAATTTGTTTTTTTCAACAAAAAAAACAAAACATTTTTATGATATTCTTAAGCAGACAGATATCTTAACTATATAAATAAATAAATTACTCACCTAATGAGTTTGAAATCCAAGGATAAAGATATAAAATCGGCAAATTCCACAATAAACATCCATTAAAAAGCATGCTCTCACCTTTAAACAAGGTAAAACATCCGATCAAGAAAATCGATATTCCACACATTTAAACCATGCAATTGATAAACGAGATGACAGTAGATAATTTATTTCGGATTAGTGTATCATATTATTATTGAACATTGTATTTAATTGTAAAAAAACAGTAGATAATTAATTTCGGATTAGTATGTCATATTATTATTGAACATTGTATTTAATTGTACTATTACTAATATAAAATATAAGAAAATACTACTTATCTATAAGAAACCCTGTTCTTATAGATATTAACAATATCGGGGTACCTTACTGTTAAAGCTGTAGCGGTAAGGTCATTGTTAACAGCTTTAGTGCAATAAAACTTTATTCAAGTGTTAAAAAAAAAAAAAAAAAAAAAAGGATTTCTTGAAAGGAGAATAGAATTGTTGGTGATGGTATGGATTGGTATTTATCCGATGAAAAACATGGTCATCAGACTCAATTTTTATACTGATTGGTCAATTTTGATATCTTTTTGAAAGAAGGCCAAATATGTAAAAATTTTGGGATTTAAAGAAAAGGAGCAATCTGAAGCTATGATTGTCCGATGTAATCTTGTTTTGAAAGAGGGGGCAAATTAATGCCAGACAAACAATTCAGGTTTCTTGGAGCCTCTAGTTATAAGGAACAAATGTAGCCTCTGGTTATAAGGAACAAATGTAAGGTTTTATTTAACGGATGCCATAATGAGTTGGTTGACCGTAATTGAATATCCATTTCACAGATGACAACAGATATGTTCCAATTGTCATAACTACAATCCTGTCCCCATTTCCCCGAAGGTGACCTACCGAATAAGACTTATCACCGGGTTTCGACTAGCATGAGAAACACGGTGGGTGCCACATGTGGAGCAGGATCTGCTTACCCTTTCGGAGCACCTGAGATCACCCCCAGTTTTTGGTGGGGTTCATATTGCTCAGTCTTTGGTTTTCTATGATGTGTGTTTTGTACTGTTGATTGTCTGTTTGTCTTTTTCTTTTTTAGCCATGGCGTTGTCAGTTTATTTTCAACTTTATGAGTTTGAATGTCCCTTTGGTATCCTTCGCCTCTCTTTTGATTTAAAATATGTGTTTTTAGTCCCCTACCGACGAAGTCGAAGAAGACTTTAGGTTTGCACTCTGTCTGTCTGTCTGTCTGGCTGTCTGTCAGTCTGGCAAATCAGTTTTCCACACTTTTTTTCTTCGTGCTTGAGGATATTGATTTGATATTTGGTGTATTGTTTAATCATGACAAGTTACAGATCAAGTTTGAATTTTGTTTTGGTCTGACGATTTTGATTAGAGTTATGGTGCTTGAACTTAGAAAATTCACTCAAATAATCAGTTTTCCACACTTTTTTTATCATGCTTGAAGATATTGATTTAATGATTGGTATATAGTTTTATCATGACAAGTTACAGATCAATTTCGAATTTTGTTCCGGTCTAACCCGAATAATCCAGTCGTTATATTACGATCACTACGATCACTCCATTCCTCGAGAAAAGTAGTGGATAGAGGGCGCTGAATTATTCGAGTTAGTTCCGGTCTAATGATTTTGTGCAGAGTTATGGTCCTTGGACTTAGAAAATTCACTCAAATAATCAGTTTTCCTCATTTTTTTTTGTCATGCTTGAAGATATTGATTTGATGATTGGTATATAGTTTTATCATGACAAGTTACAGATCAAGTTCGAATTGTGTTCCATCCTGATGATTTTGTGCAGAGCTATGGTCCTTGGACTTAGAAAAAGTTCACTCAAATGATCAAGTTAGCATTTTGTTCCAGTACAATAAATGTTTAACTGGTAGGGGACTACAGTATGTATTGCCAGGCAATACTCACAACATGCTTGTTGTTTTTCATTTGGTAAATTTTAAAAGATTCAATTTATGATTTAAATAAATTACAGTGATAATTTTGATAATTTTCATCACTATAAGCATGGTAAGTGGATTATGTTTAATCTTAATTTACATATTCTGAAAAGAAGAAATAGAGGTAGATTGAATCCCTGAAATATGTGTCATTCAGTAATAAAAATGTTTCAGAAATTTTATGTCAATCACAGCTTTTTGGAAAAAAAATGTTCATAATAAAATAAGCATACTGTGTACTCTGAATTAATGTTTTGATTTAAAGATATGTGTTTTGTAATTAAATTTCAAGTTTTAGCCCAAAAAAATGAGATTTAATCATTTTTGTATCATACTTAGCAAAAGTTGCCAAATATGGCTACATGTATATTTTAGAGTTTTTTTTGGTCTTAACTTTTAAAACCGGTAAAGGTATCTACATGTTCCCTTTTCTTTGTTTTAATGAGCTCTATAAGATGAATGCATTTATTTTGTGTTAGAGGTTTGTTGAAAAAATCATGTGTCATACCTACTAGGACTACAGCTTATCATTATTTGAATGTTTCAGTCTTTCAGCTGGACTGTTAAGACAGGCAACATACACAACTACACGACTGGGTGTCTACATGAATATATTTGATTATGTATCAAAGTCAAGGTAAGTCCCCATTATAATTTGAATTAACATTTATGCTATGTATGAGAGAATATGAATGCTATTTATGAAAAATGATGGTTAAAGAGAATTGATGGAGAATCAGCAAAAGATAACCATAGCAGACATCTAAATGTTGAGCATCTTAAATGGTTGAATGTCCAAAACAGATAAACAAACTATATGAGAATACCTACAAAGAAGGGAGATAATCTTATACCTGTCTATAATGGAAGAGACTTAATGTTAACCTCAAGGTGTCTTTTGGTCATTTTTCCTACCAAAGGTCAGTGATTCTCTCCATGCACTCCAACTTTCTCCACCAATAAAAACTGACCGCCATGAAATAGCATAATAGTGCTGAAAGTGGCGTTTAACAAAAATCAATCAATCATCTTTTGGTTATTGTGGTTCTGGATGGCTCTCTCATTACATCAAACCCTCATCTCCTTTTACTAGCTCACATAGCCCCATGGCAATGTAAGCTATTGCCATCACTTGGCGTCCATTTTAAACTTTTAAAAAATCTTCTTCTCTGAATCTACCAATTTCAACCAAACCCTTAGGTTATCTAGTTCAAATTTTTTTTTTTCATGGTCTCATTCGGCCTAGCCACAATCAGATGTACATTTTGTGTTTCACATGAAGTCAAAAATGAAGATCACATCAGGCAAAAACCCTTTTGATATTTTGGTACAGAAATGGTTTAGATTATGAAAAATGGCCGTCATAAGGCTAACACTTGAAGCATTTATATAATAACATGCAGTTTTGGGAAGAAATATTTTATATTTTTATTAAATAAATGGTGTTTTAAAACTGTCTAATTTTCTTTAATGGTTACCTTCATTCAAGACATGGTCACCAGTTTCATATTTTTGGCCAATGACAAAGACAACAAAATATGTTTAGAATTATTGAATATCAAACATTTTAACTGAAAAGAAAATGACAAGAACATGTTTAACTCACAATTATTTCAAACAACAGTAGCTTTCTTTGTTCATTACTCTGATCTGATCAAACTATTTCTAAAATAATCTATTAATAACAAAACTTCAAAAAAAAACCTTTCTTTTGGTGTATAGAACATTAAAATAACTTGATGCATATTCTTACAATAAACAATCAAAGTTAGCAATACAATTTATATGTTTTGTCTACGGACAAGACATTTTATTGATATTTAATTAAATGCATCATTAAAACTTAATTTTGACATAGTTGAATATGTTCTCTTGACAAAATAACATACATTTTATTATGTTTATCTATCAAATGATGCTGAACCTCGAGGAAATTGGAAACAAATACATTGTGATAATGTCTATGGACAAGACATTTTATTGATATTTAATTAAATGCATTAAAAAGATAATTGTTAAAATTAAGATTAAGTTACCCATTTAAGTTTAAGCTGTGTTTTTTAATTTTTGGAAAATATAAAAATGTACCCATGATTCTTTACATATCTCAAAATTTTATTGATTAAGCAAAAATGAAGACACATACTTTCAACTGAAATCCATAAGTCTGACTGTTTAACAATTAAACTTTTATAAAAACTAAATTTTGACAAAGTTGAATGTGTTCTCTTGAAAAAAATAACATACATATTATCTATCAAATGAGGATGAACTCAAGGAAATTGGAAACAAATAGATTGTGGTAATGTCTACGGACAAGACAATTTCAGTTGAATAAACAATCTGTTAGATATAATTGTGATTATATTTATGTTGAAAATACTGAGTTTTAATGTGTTCAAAGAACTTTCATCACCTATAAATTAGATTTAAGTTCCAAAGTAGACAAATAATTGAATTTAATACTTGTTATGTACAAGTGTCTTGTCCGTAGACACTTCCTCATCTGCTGATAATCCTAAAATGCAAAAGATAAAGTCAGAGAGAGAGAAATACTATTTCTTCATTTGATTAAGTTTATCTTTTAAGTTATGAAGCAACTGGAATAAAAATATTGAAGTAAAATAAGGTATGCTTTTGATGACTGACAATTTGCCACTTTTTAAAATCCACTCCTGTAAAGTAATTTTACAAAAAATGAGAACAGTTAAATAACCATTAATTAATCAAAAATAATATATTTTTAAGTTTAAACAACACATAAGAACAATTTAGATCCATAAAGCCAAGCAATATTGATATAAAGTCATGTCTACGGACAAGACATTCTGACATTTTTTTCAAATTCTTCCTCTACTAAAAGATGGTAGAAATTAATGTTTGTAGTGTTTTCATATCTACAAAAGGGTAGGAACTTAGCAATGCAACATTTATGTTATTACACTTCCAGTTTACTAGGAGATGCATGTCTACGGACAAGACATTTTTTCACTTTATTTGGATATCCATTTTAGATGGCATATATCTCCAGCTAGGGTACTGCAATATAGATATATGAGGTAGTTGTTGATAATTCATATACAAGAAGAGAAAACAAAACACATAATAGCATAAATTTCATTTATTTTTCTCTTTTATTACTGCACTATACAAGATAAAAACAAAAATACAAAATTGCATAACGAACACATAGTATTCCACTTTTTATCATAACTTTGTAGCCACTGAAGATTTTTCCTTGCAACAACCAGCAAAAGAAAGATGAATAAATTGTCTATAACAGTGAACCAATAATGTAGTTCAAATTAGGTTCACTTATTAACTATCAATTGATAAAAACAGTGTATTTTTAAATGAAACAACATAATGTGAAATTTTGCCCATTTTAGCGTGTATTTTAGTGGGTTTTTTTCAAAATGGTCACACATATACATGATATTTGATATGCATTGTGAAGCCCTATATTCTTTCCTTCAGTTCAAAGATGTAATACTTAAATTAAGTTCATCTTCTTGTCTATAGAAGCCTATAACATAGACCTAATATGAAATGTACATCTGATTGTGGTTAGGCCGATTGCTAAAAATGGAACATAAGGGTAAAATGCATTTATTGTCATATCTTGAAAACCATTATAGATAGAGAAAAAGCTGACAGTGGCAAAAATGCTGAGAATGTCAAGACCCTATCTACTTTCTATTTTCACCTAAATGATCCGATGACTTTTAAAAGTAATTGCCCTTAGCAATTTTCTTGTTTTTGACCCATATTTTAAAAACTATAATAGATATGTAAAAGCTGTAAACAGCAAAAATGATTAGCAATACCAGATCTACAAAATTCCAGTATGACCGAAATCATTGGATTTAGATTACCACGAAAAATATCAAAGTATATTATATTGGTAGAAACTGTAAAATTGATCAGTAATACAAGATCTACACAAATGCCACTAAATAAGATCTACACAAATGCCACTAAATAAGATCTACAAATAAAGCAACTATATCTGATTGCAATAAAAGTTAAAATAAATATCAAAATGGCACATTTTTAACAGATGAGCAATTCAGGCTCTTAGAAGCCTCTTGTTGATATCTACAGAAAATTTGAAATGAAAATGGGTGATAGAAATATAAGTGTTTGATATGACCATCAATTTTCTTCCCTGTGATGTTGACATTTGGAAGATATTAAATGATAAAACACATTACAAATTATGACAAATATAAAAATCAGTTCATAGTTAATTCACAAATACAAAAGTGTAAAGAAAAAAAAACATGTCAAGAATTTTGTGCAGTATGATTTGCTATTGTTTTTTAACCATATTTTGAACAAATATGGAAAAAATAAGATGGATTTCACTGGTTTATTTCACCATTACTAGAGAAATTTTTTAATTTTTAAACGTACACATGCATACAGATGATTGTTTTAAATCATCAAAATGCAACATGTCTGTAAGAAGTGGTTGATTGTATTTTTCAGAGAGGGCAAGCCTCCAAATGCATTTCAAAAGCTGTTTATGGGATGTACTGCTGGTGGTATTGGAGCCTTTGTAGGAACACCAGCTGAAGTTTGTCTCATTCGGATGACAGCTGATGGAAGGTAAGGAAGAGGAAGTTAAAATTCACATGAAATATGTTGTGGATTCATTTATTTTTGTGAGTACCCATTTTTAAGGATTGAGGAAAAATTGTATTTTAGTGAATATTTGATTTCATGGTTTTGCCAGAGTCTGCATTCAAGTCTATGGAAAATTTGTATTTAATTAAACATTTAAATTTGTGGTTCACTTTTAAATATGTTCTTGTTTACTTCAAATAAGGAAAAAACCTGTTAATTAGTGCTTAGTTAAAACTATAAATGACTGAATAGGGTGATCTTTCATTGTCAATAAATTTGAAATTGTAATGAAATACGGTATAACAAAGTTATATCAATAGCAAATTCAGGGAAGTAACTAATGGTTTTGTAAGAATTTAGACGATGACAAATTACTTCTTCCATTCTCATTTCCTTTAAATTTAATATTAAAAATAGAGGCTTTGGTGTAAATCATAATCAATCATTAAACAAAATCAAAATGTGTTGCATGTCACATTAGATATTTCTAAGAAAGGAAAGGATTAAAAGTGATACATATAAACTAGATCTGCATAAGTTATATTGCAACCTAAAGCTTAAAGAATCCTGAGTATACTCAGCAACATATAAAACCGTATATATATTTTTAAAATTTATAGTTGAGCACTTTTACAAAAACTATTCCACAGGTTACCTATTGACCAAAGAAGAGGTTATACTGGAGTATTTAATGCCTTATCTAGGATTATTTCAGAAGAGGGAGTTTTAACTATGTGGAGGGTAAGATTAAACAGTACAAAACAAGGTTTTCATTTTAGCCACCCCTTTTGCCAAAACAATATTTTTTTTGCCAACTAACATAAACATATATTTGTTTAAAATTTTCCTTCTTAATTTCTAACCAAAAAATAATCAGTTTACAGCTATCTTATTTACTATGATTCTACATATCTATTTTATAATCTACATTGTAATAAATGAACACTCAATTAGTACACAAAATCTAATACAAATGTATCAAAGTCCGGTCACTCTGACCTTGAATTTGACCTTTGACACTATGATAGTAAAACATTGTCTGATTTGTGATTGATGCATAACTTTTGTTCTGTAGCAATTAGATTGACAAAACTTTGTATGCAAAAGCATCGTACTGACCTTGACCTTTAATTTCTGAATTTACAGTATACAAACCTCAGACTGTTCCAAGGTCAGTATAATTCTTTCAGATTGACCTATCAGTAACCATGTGTTAACACCATGAACACAGAGGCAATGATTATATAAAATGAATGGCTGAAAACCAAAAATCTCAAAATGTATGCCTCAATACTGAATTTTCACAGCAGCAACTAAAATGCAAGTATGAGGGGTATTAGTCCTGCTATGCAGACAGCTTTAGTTGACAGTTGAATAATCCAGTTTTGCCTTGAAATCTCAATGAACATGAATTATATTTGAGAGAGAAATCAATGTAAGGTCATTTGCAAATTTATCCCTTTAAAACAAAACTACTGAAAAAATAATTTTCAACCTCAATGCATCATAAATCAGCAGGATAAAGTATGATTTGTTTTTGATTTAAAGATTTCAATCAGTCTAAACCATGTCATGTACGGTATGTTATTTTTACAGGGATGGCAGCCCACTGTTGCAAGAGCTATGGTAGTTAATGCAGCACAATTAGCATCATATTCTCAGGCTAAAGAAGAATTAAAGAAGACAGGTACAATAGATTAAAAGAAATTAATTCTGTTGAAATTGAGTATTTTCACCTAAAACTGTACTGTGTTTATATGTACCTATTTAGACCACATTGTATCAAGGTCAATAGGTCTGGTTTTGACTCTCAATTTGTTTATTTACTGGATTTTTTTGGCACAGGATATTGTAAAATTAGAAATTGCACAAATAACTATGGCACCTTTGGAAACAGTAAAAACCATTTGAGTTTCAGTCTTCTAAGTGATGACACATTCCTGACTTTGTTAAGTGCAGATATAAATAAGACTATCAAAGGAAGGTTTAAGTCTAGCCTTGACAAAGTTGAAAAAAAAGACTTAGGCATGAAGTTTTGGCAGCAGCAGCAACAATGTGTTAGAATGTGATTAGGTCAGTTTAAGATGAACCACTAATAGTAAATCAATGATATTTTGTATGCAGTTTATTAGCATTGGCACATTTCATTTGCGTGGTGATTATATGGCCCCACCCCCTCCCCATGGTTAATAGACTGAAACTTTTGCATAGTTTAAAGGGAACCATATATGATAAGTCAATGGTATCTGGTTTGCAGTTGTATAAGCATTGCATTTCTCATTTCCATGAATGTTATTGGCCATGCATATTCAATTATGGTTCAATAATTTAATTTTGGATGTAACACGTCTTCTGATGGCTGACATTGTTTTGTTTATCAGCTCATAGACATAATTTTGTCACGTGACCATGCCACCATCAATGTTTTTTCATGGTTTACTCCGGGCAAAAATGGAATTTAGAATTAAATTATAAGAAATGACTGTAATATTTTTTTCTGTCTTTTCGAAATAACATAAAAAATGTGGTGCACACTTTAAAATAACCCGCTATGCGGGTTATTCAGTGTGCACCACATTTTTTATGTTATTTCTTCATAGACAGAAAAAATATTACAGTCATTCCTTAATTAACTTTGTATGTTTTGTATAATTCACATGTTTTAAGGTATTGACATTTTAACTTCACCATTTGCATTATACTACTAAAATTACATAAAGGCGAGACTTATCTCTTTGTCAACAGTATTTTTTTTAAATTAAGAAGCGCTTATTTGTTGATGCTTAACTTACCTTATTTAAAAATCCTATACTGAATAGAGTTGATCATAGAATCATTTTATGATTATGATAGATGTAAGAAATACCAAGTATTTTTCTGTTATTTCTTTGCTATATTAAACAGTGCTTATATATTTTCAGGATATTTTGGGGAGGGTATTTTCTTACATTTTGTCTCCAGTATGTTTAGTGGTTTAGTTACAACTATTGCATCAATGCCAACAGATATTGCCAAGACAAGGTAAAGTATAACTTTATTATTTTGCACCTTAATAAGGGTCTGGATGGTGTTTACAGAAAAGAGAATAATGAAGAAAAAAAGAAAATAAAGGGCAAAAAATATAGAGAAAAGAAAAACAGACAAAACAAATAAAGAATAGAGAATAATGGGTGCTAAAATATAAAGAATAAAAAAATTCAGCCCCTTCTATGAAAGAGCATTTTTTTAAATTGCGTTTGATGATCTTTACTTCAACTTCAATCTGTTCAATATGTACACTGATTTAATCATAAAAATTTGATTTCTGACAAAATTTTTAGCAATTGTTCCTATTGAAATTTGCATTTATTTTGGTGTTTGTTTAGTTGTACAATACATATAAGAAGGCCTTAATTTAAACATTATCATTATATAGTTTATTTGTCAAACACAGAAAAACAAATTTCAATAGGAACAATGTTAATAATTTTGCCAGAAATCAACTTTTAATGTTTGAATCTGTGTTTACATTGAACATATTGAAAGTATATCATTGATATTGAATAAATACAACATCACATGCAGTTTTGTGAGTTAATTACATGTATTTTCATCTACTTAGAAGATAATTTTTGCTTCAGGTAAATTAATGAGTAATGGATTTCTCCTATAAGAAATTTTAAGGTCACAGTGAATAAACTACAAAGAGAACAACAGCTATTGTATTTATTCAAAGGAACAATTCAACTGACAAAAGGTTAAATACCATGACCAAGAGTAGATGACTCTGTGGAAGAGTTTCATTTGGTTTGCAATAAATCTACTGTGCTCTGTCAAGTCATCCAATTATTTCTTCCTTATTATACTTTGATTTCACAGCAGGTTGATAAAGGTATTAGATATTATTCTTTGTATTTAATTTTCTATAATATTGATATTAATCATTTATTTACTTGTTTTTTTTTACTTCAGAGTACAGAACATGAAGATTATTGATGGAAAACCAGAGTATAAGAATGCTTTGGTATGTCATATATTTTTCTAATGGAATAAAACATCTTTATATTTTTATGAAGAAAAAGAAAAACTTTAAACTTAACTTTTAAGACGCAATTAAAGTTTAGATTGGTTTATATAGGTCATGTAGGTGTAGGATTGAAAAAAAGTTTTAAACATCCAATTTTTGAGTGAATTTACAGTTAAGTTGAGAAGTACACAAACTAAACATAAGACTTATTTAATAGTTCAAGACTCTTTTGTTGTTTTTGTCTTTGCAATACCTTGTAAGAATTTATGACAGTTCTAATCATTATTCTCTTTAAGTATAGATAATAAGATTCTTGTTATTTCAAAAACTGTAAATTCAGAAATCTTTGTGATGTTTTTATTATTGTGAAACTTTGCGACGGGATAGGTTTGGTAAAAATAAAACACAACATTTTAAATATTTATAGCATTACTTGTAAGCAGTATTTTCAGGAATCACTGTGAATAATAAATCTCCCATGTTTATCCTTTGTTGAACAATCACACCAATAAATGCATGCAAAAATACATTTCAGAAATTACAATATTTTAATCATACAGTTTTACAATAAATTCATTCAGATGAAAAATCCTGCCAGTGGCGTAGCCAGGGCTGAATGGATGTGGATGCCAAACTGTCGCCAAGCATAGCGAGGCGAAAATGTTTTTTGTTTTTTTTCTACTATTTTATGCAGAAAAATATATTTTTTCCACATTTTCCCTGAATGCATGTGTACTACCCCCAGAATCCGACACTAGTTAGATTTTTGTTTCAATTCCATAAATAAGTGCCTTGAAAATATTGAATATGGTTCCAATGATAATTTATTTACAAAACTGACAATTCAGATTATTTACAACAAAAAGTTCAGCTTTCTTCCGTTAACAGATGCAAATTTTGTAATAACAGTCCATCTTTTTCGTGACGAGTAGCATATCTAAAAGATTAACCCATCAGTAACCAGATTAACAAACAGTTTGTCTTTGGCACCTTTATCTGCTAAGACAGTACAACTTCCGAAATAGAGTGTGTCAGTAAACATCGAAAGTCTTAGCCATGGATTCTCTTTAAACCAAAATGCATTCAGTTTTCTCTCCCGACCATAAATAACCCTACAATTTAACCAAAACTTTAAATCATGGATTGTGCCATTATATATTCCATATTTTTAAATACAAACAAAAAGAAGACTGGAAATTGAAAGCAAAGCTCAATATATGATACTCACATTCCCCCTAAGCCCAGACCCCTAAGTAAGCATGGGGTCACTTATATATATTTGGCATACCTGAGACTGTGTAGCTTTGAATTTCAATATAACCAACAATTCATATATTTCCAATAGAATTTTATTGTTTTTTTGAAACTACCATCATTCAATTAATAAATATATAATGTAAAAGCCCCCCTTTTATATTTGACAGCTCAAAAACGGACCCATTACAGTGGCACTTCTGTTTATGGAACTTTGGAATATAAGAACCAGTGACCCCCTTTTCCCGGAATTTGAGCCTCCCCATGGGGTTTTTGATTTATGATTACTTAGCCTTTTTAGTGGTGATATTGCCAAAACATGTGAAAATAAATTAATATTTGTACCTAGATGGAAACGGGTATTTATAAGCCCAGGAATGATCGCACTCTGTCACAAATTGAGTTTTGATCAATTCGTCTTTCATGTCACAGGAAGCGATGTCAGGATATGGTGGTTTATATGGTGGTAACGTTGTTGCTTCGTCAGATGTTGAAGCCATTGCTCCGCTTGGCTCAATTTCAGACCAAACTTGTCTGTGGGTCTGCGTATCATCATCCTCTGTGCTTGCAGTAGCCAATGAAGTAGACTTTTTACGAAAAAGTCGAGAACACTTTTCTGCTTTTCCATTTTGTTTACATAAACTAAATGAAGAACACATGCTTCAGAAATGATATGGCGTTGTTCTCATATCCTTACCCCTGTAACATTCGGAGACCTACACATTTATCTGCTGCAAACATATGCGATTATATGCAATTATATATTTTTTTTATTTTTTTATTTTTTTTGTCAAAATGATGTGGATGCTTGAGCATCTGAGTAAACATGCAAGCTAAGCCACTGCCTGCAACATCTTTTTCTTGCCAAAAATTCTACTTTTTCAAATGCTTGTATCTAACAAAAAGGCACATGAGCCTATATCTATATTTCTCCACAATTTTGATGTATTAAACACTATCATTGGAAAAAGACATAATTTATCCTTTCAAATGTACTTATTGACAACTGCCACTATTTTGCTAGTTCCCGAATAAAATTGTATATTTTGTTTTTGCAGGATGTGATATTCAAAACTGTCAGTAAGGAGGGATTCTTCAGTCTATGGAAAGGATTTACACCTTATTACTTTAGATTAGGACCTCATACAGTTCTTACATTTATATTTATAGAACAACTTAACAAATTTTATTACAAATATGTACTAGGTGTTGAAGGCCATGGGGGTTTATAATAAACCAAAATTTAGGTTTTTCAGTGTTTTATAAATTCTACATTAATTGGAATGGAGGATTGATCATTTTATTATGTAGTGTAAAACTTGCTTTTATAATTTGTATTCATGAATGAAATCTAACACGCATCATGAGGAAATATTCGCCTTGTTTTTTGTTGTTGTACAACATAAACCATATATTTATCAACCAATTGTCTTGCAATAGAGTTCTCCCAAATATTTCAAATCAGCCCCATGAAAGAGGGTCTGGATGGGGGTCCTTCAATTCAGTATTCTTTATTTTTTTAAGCATTTTTTCTCTATTCTTTATATTTTAGAACCCCATTATTCTCTTTTCTTTATTTTTTTCATCCATTTTTCTCTATTCTTTACTTTTTTGGTCTATTTTTCTCTATTCTTTATTTTTTTCGTCCATTTTCTGCAGTTTTGGTCCATTATTGTCTATTCTGTTAACTGCTCCAGACCTTCATGAAATTTGAATTAGCACTGTGTCCCTCAAGTTATAGCACCACATTTATAAAACATTCTGTTATAAAATCTATTCAAATAGCACCCATGATATACGTTTTTGGGGAGAACATTGTTTGCAAGTGAACTATTATATTTCAGTTTTATCAAGGGCTGTTTTAAAACATGTCAACTGTGACTCATGTTAATCCAGGGTAAAATCAATTGCATCAAGCTTTTTCACCTGTCACACCTGCATGGTTTATCATGTTTGTGGAGTAAAAACAATATGAATCTCAAATTTATTTGTCAAATGCTATATATCATTAAACAATGCCATTACATTTCAAGCTTAGCTTTCGTACTATGTATACAATTCGTTTATTTATGTATTCTGGTTTAATTCAGAAAAATGTAAGTTTTTGACTTTGTATCCATTTATGTATGTCAATTGATATTCTGGACAAAAATTAGACGGGTTTTATAAGAATACCATGGAAACAACTTACTCAATAGCAGTGAATTCAGAGTAAATCATCATTAATTTTACAAGACAGAAATTATCACCTAACCTGCATCTTTAATTTGGTGATAATTTGTACAATTGGCAAAGTGCCATTTCATTTTATGAAAACCAAAATTAGGAACATTTTCACATTTCTATGCCCCACCTAGGGGCATTATGTTTTTCGATCTGTGCGTCCGTTTTTCAGGTTAAAGTTTTTGGTCAAGGTAGTTTTTGATGTATTTGAAGTCCAATCAACTTGAAATTAGTACACATGTTCCCTATGATATGATCTTTCTAATTTTAAATTTCACGGTCCATTGAACATAGAAAATGATAGTGCGAGTACTATGGACACATCCGTGTACTATGGACACATTCTTGAGATATTACTGACTGACATGCAGTAACCTGAAATATATACCTGTGTACATCTGAAAGTATTGGTATCAATTATTAGATTTAATAATAGCAGTTCAACATTTTAATTGTCAACTTATGTCAAACTTCTATGGTATATCTTATCAGCTCAGGTAGTTAACATGTTTACTTAACAGGGGCATTCAACTTAAGGGGCATTTCTGAAAAAAATCCTAGCTGACATTTTAATAAATAGAACTTTAATTTAATCAGGTTGAAAATACATACATATATTTGAATTGTAAAGAGATAATGTATATTAATGTTTACCTTGCAATGAGACAATTTAGCAGGAATACATTTTAATTTTCGATTTTTCTTTTCAGCTGCTTATGATATAATAGCATAAATTGCATTTATTATATACTTTTATATACACTTTACACTTATGTTATGAATTGCTGAATTATTCTCAAGTTAAAAGTGTGGTTAAACAAGGTTTTGTACTTTAGTAATTTTAGTTATGACATTATTTTTTATAGCTATATATAAACTTAAAGTTAATTATTCCGTGTATGATAAAAGTTGGGAAGTGTATATAGTATCAAACAGATGTTTTTAGACAAGTGCTTTAACAAACATAAAAACATTCTACTTATTTTTATATAACTTTTTTTGTTCTTATAAAAGGAAGTCAACTCAATTGTAAATAATGTTTCTTCACCCTGTAAATGAATTATATGTATATCTGATAAGTCTAATACATACATAAGAATAAGTAAAGGCACTTGTGAAGAAACTGTTAATTAGTGGAAAATCAATACTAAAGGGAATTTGAGAATAGAAATAAAACTAATAAGCTTTAGGGATCCAGTATGACATGAGAAAAAATATGAGAATCATAGAGGAAAAAATAAGGTTCTTATGTAGAAACTTTTTTGTCTACTAATAACATGTTTTTTTTTATTACCAAAAAACATCCTCAATTGTAAAAAAAATAAAACCATTGATCAGCGATTTTATTGTTTAAATGAACTTGAAACATGGATAGTGTACCACAACAGCCAAATGTAACCAATTCACCACAACTTCCACCATGCCCTACATGTGCGACTACAATACATCTTACAATATTCCCGACGCAATTGGAAGTAGTACCTCTATCCAAGTGAAGCCTTTTGGAATGGTACGGAATGTCTTGTGAGGTGTCCATTTTGGAAAAGATACTGACAATTCATTATTAACTTTTACTTTCACTTTCATTTTAACGTCGTCAAACCTATTATTGTGACTTAACGTTTTGTTAACCTTTGTAACCTCATATGCACCGCATTTTGTGTACTTCAGTATTTGTTTCCTATCATTAAATTGTTCTGAAGACGCCACCATAAGTGGCGAAACATGTAGACCAGAATAAAGAATTTCCTTGCAGTAATCAAGGATGTTGTTGTCTTTGTGTTTCATTGATCAATGAGTTTAAAAATGATTTTTAATCAATGAATTTGTTTACATGCAAAATCTGAACTAGAAACTATTTTAAGATATCCTGTATTTTTGTGAAAAACAGTTCTTATTTTTTAGAAAATCCATTTTTGTTATTTGTTGTACTTGTATTATGCTGACATGTTTCTTCAGATTGTTTTTTTTTCATAGAATGTTTTGTTATTCATATTATGTATTCATTTGGGTTGATGAACAGAAAGCAAACAAAACATCTCCCTGTATTCATAAAAAAAAAAAAAAAAAGGATAAATTATACATTATTTGCAAACATTTTATTAAATTGTCATTTTGTCTCATTAACCGATAACTTAATTGGAAAAAAAAATTGTTTCTGACAGTGCTAAAGAAAAAATGTTCCTAGTACTTACAAAAGGTGTACAACTGATTCTAGTTATGTCAAACAAAAATAGTGGAAATTATAAATAACCTATAACAAAGTACAACACCACTTTACAACATGAGTAGGTGTGGTAAGGACCCTATTTATTATGCCCCCAATATTACATCCATTATTTCAAGAGGAAAAAAATTGAGGCAAGAATCTTAGAAAGTGATATAAAACAAATTTTGTCAAACTTTTCTTCAAAATGGGTACATTTTACATCCCAAATAAGCCACAAATGAAAGATGATCAGCCAATTTTGACCAAATATTTTAAAATATTGCTTTTTGCCAAGAGGAAAGGAAAAATTGATTAAAATCATATTATAAGTTCTTTCCTTTATAGCCATGTTAGAGATTTACAATGTTTAAAAATCAACCAAATTAAGGCAGCAGCAATACCAACATCAACATTATCTAAAAAGATTTACAAATTTCATACATGGAAAATTCAATATGCATGTATGGAGAGAGTCCACTGTACCAAAATACAATATAAAAAATTATAAGCAGTATTTTTGTAATTTTAATTTGGAACTTTTAATATTGTGTTGTTGAAATAAGTCAATGAGTGCATTTTTACCATTGTTAAGTATGTTTATTTTCTTCACCTTTATCATGTGCTTAATTTGATTGAAACTCAAACTAATGTTACATTAAAATAAAACGACTTATTTGAAATCCCTGTTTTGTTGTTATCAGACTTCCTACATCCTGTGGATATTAGATGCTAATAGTTTTGCATCCAGGCAGTAGAAAAAATATACAGTATATAGACTATATACTAGAGATGTTGAGATTAAAAAAAAATGGAATCTTTTTATGATGCACTGAGGATTATTTTTGGATATTGCTGAATAAGAGATTTATGTCACCATGGTCACTTCCTTGCATTAAAAAGCTATTTATCTATACGACTTTCTTTACTTCTGGGCCAAGTTATTCAAAAGTGAGGTTAAGCTTACGCTGTTGTTAAAGTGTCGTTAGTGATTTGTTAATTTTAACAAATTTGTTAACTGTTGTTGAAAAAAAATTAATGGCATAAGCAATGTTAAAGAGTTAACTTTGACAACATCTCAGAGGTCTATTAAATGTTGAAGTTGTTGTAAATATGGCGGCCTTCATGGAAGTACATTTTCCACCTCAAAGAAGAGAAAGAAATGTTCACCTCAAAGATGACTTAACCTTCAAATTAACAAATGAGGAATTGAGATAGCGCTACAGATTTGGGAGAAATGACGTTATGTTTTTGCCAAACTTAATCAGTAATGATGTAAGAAGACAAACAAACAGAAATCATGCTCAGACTGTACCCATGCAGATAATGGTGACCCTATAAGTTTTAGCTACGGGAAGTTTTACAGATTGACAACTTGGAGCAAATTAAAATGTTGGGTTATATGGACAACTATCATCACAACAAACAATATATTTGATTCTCTGATGTAAGGTACATAAATATGCCATTCTAAAAAATAATTTTACCCATTAAAGAATTGTTATGAAAAAAAATAATAACCTACTGTCTTCTGTCAGTGAGGAGAGCCAAAGCATTAAACAAAAGTGCACACGCTTAAATGTCTCGCCTGCTTTACTGTTCTTGATTGGATTTTATGTTGAAAATTTAGTACAAGTCTAAACTAAACTTACCATTATAAAAAATCCATTTAAATGAGGTCAAGGTCAGATGAACCCTGTAAGATGGACAAGTACACCTTACAGTCATTCCATACAACAAAGATAGTTAACCTATTATTTATAAAAAAAAAGACCTAACCACGAACACTTAACAAAGATGACACCCTTCGGACAGTCATGTATACTTACAAACATTCCATACACCTAATATAGCTGACCTATTGCAAAATGGTATCTGAGAAACACAATAAACCCTAAAACTAACATTAACCATTGAACCACTAAAATGAGGTCAAGGTTAGATGATATCTGCCAGGCAGACATGTACAACCACTCAATGCACCAAAAAAAGGTCACCTAATGCTTATAGTATTTGAGGACCAGACCTAATCATATTTAACATTGATCAATGATCCATGAAATGAGGTCGAGGTCAGATGAACCCTGTCTGATGGATATGTTTAACTTACAAGGATCCCATATACTAAACATAACTATTTTACTCATAATATGTTGAGCATTCACAAGACTATAAACTATACAGATTTTTTAAGCAGTCACTGAACCATGAAAAGGACAATGTACATATGACAGAGGGAAAAATGAGGCATCTGTATTTAAGGTATGAAGTCTTCTACCTTCTCAATTATAAAGCTTTACACAAATAATTTACTCTGCCTCTGGATTAGCATCCCTATGTCTCACATCCTGAGACTGCTTGCAGGCTAGACAAAAATGTGAACATTAATGTTTTTCATTACATAAATGTGGTAACAATACATTTATTGCTATCAATTGGAATCTGTTGTTGTCAATCTGAACCAAACTATGACACAATCATCCATAGGGCTAATTTAAAAATTGTGTCATTTATGCTTGCTTTCCAAAAAACATTACCACCATAGCTAAAAATATAAAAATGGTAAAATTGTTACAAATGAATGACATGAAAAAAGGGCCCAGAATGTCAAGGTTTATATCAACCAAAATTGTCAAACAACACAATAATAGTTATTGCCTATAAATGATTTTTGACCAATTTTGCATGTTTGCTTTTACCCTGAAAACTAAAAAAGACAGAAAGTTTTTTTTACAGCAATAATGAGCAGCAAGAATACAAATAATTCAATATGATTGGAATCCTTAATAAACTCCTTACAACATAAATTATGATTTTGATGAATTTAACAAAATTTATCAGAAAAACAAGATTTACAATAAGTTAGGGAGAGGGTTTGGCACCAGCAAACATGTTCAACCTCGCCACATTCTGCATGTGCCTGTCCCAAGTCAGGAGCCTATAATTCAGCGGTTGTCGTTTGTTGCTGTATATCATATTTGTTTTTCGTTTATTGTTTTGTACATAAATCATGCCATTAGTTTTCTCGTTTGAATTGTTTAACATTTGTGAATTATCAATGGACTCCTTATAGGAATTATTACCCTTCAGTGATGAATTTTGTCTTGCCTTGATTTAGTAGCAGATGCACGACTTCTGCATGTTGCTTCTGGTGTTAGTTGTGTCAACATTTGTTCAAGTTTGTGAGTACATCACTTTATGAGAAACAACTAATGGTAAGGCAATGATATTTGGTAGGCAATTATATTAGTATTTGCACATCTCATTTGCATGGATATCAATTGGCCCCAACACCTCAGTCATGGTCTAAACTTTAACTTTCACACTGTTTCAATTTGAAACAGTGTGAAAGTTAAAGTTTGTGAATAGATCAGTTTAAAGGGAACCACTTTTTAAAAGTCAATGTTATTTGGCATACAGTTGCATATCTCATTTCCATGGAGATTATTAGGTCCAGCACCCATAGCCATGGTGTATTGAGTTTGAATGTTTTGCATAGTTTACATTTTAAAGTGTTGCAATTTTAATTTCAAAATTTGCATTATACTATCAAAATTACATACAGGCAAGACATATCTCTGTGTCATCTATTTATTTTATTACTGCACTTATTCACAAGGCTTTGCCTTTTCATAATACTAAAGAGTCAAAAGAATTTTGAAATTGAATTTATTAAGTTGTTGAACTGCTATCAAATTTGACAATTGCTAGAGAAGGGCTGTTAGTATTATTCCCATACAATTTCAATCGCAGACTTTTTGTTTCATCAAAAGTTTGGAAAAATACTCCCATGAATAATCAGGCACACTAATAAGAAAAAGAGTTTGTATTAGGTGTTAAAACCTTTATCACATTGATGTTTAATTTTAATTTGATAGAAAAGTATACAATAGTTATTAATTATTTTCAGTTCTGAGAAGTAATAAGATAAATATTTTTTTTAGATATTCTGTGAAAATATTATACATGTATACATGATTTCTCTAATTGGATGCTAATTTATACTCAAACAGACCTGTTGATTATTTTCTATAATATATAAATCAAAATGTTGATTGTTTAATCTCAGTTCTTCATTGGCCAAAATTCAATAATGACATCAAATTTTCTTGCTTTCCTCTGAATTTGCTATTGTAATGTCATGAAAAAGGCAACTGTGTCTGAAGACTTTACAAAGAACATCAATGAAAAAGAAAGATAAAGCTTGCTTACTTATTGTCTAAGAGAAAGATTCCACCACATAATATTGTGCAATACAATTTCTCCACTATCAACAGTTAAATTTTAGACATTTGGAATGATAGGCATGCTTATATTTCTAATTTGAAAACTTTACTCTCTTGAATGAAGAAATATTGCATCACACTCCATGCAGTTGTAGAATCTATATTGTATCCATGGGAGATAACTCTGGACATGCTTTACATCAGTTTTTGATATGGACTTTGTTACATTATTATCTCCCTTTCAATCATTAAATAAGTAATTATGGTAGGAAAAAAATCAAATACAGGGACATAGTTGTCTCATTGGCACTCATACCACATCTTCTTATATCTATACACAATAATTTTTTTTGCTATTATATAAAGCTATAATTAAATGCTAATGAAAAATTGATTAACAGTTATTTAATTATGAAATATATTAAAGTCAAACTTTTCTTACAAGTGTGTCTGATAATAAATTTTAGATTTTTTTCCAAATATCTTATGTATCACAGAATCATCCTTGGAATTGGATTGTAGGAATATCTTTAGATTATAGACTGTGCCAACCTTATTCTAAAAGTGTAACCTTATAATAGCCTGAATTAACTGCTTAAAGATATGCAAAATACAATATTTTTTATCAAATTTTTATTTTTAAACAACAAAACATGATATTTTATAAATGTCCGGCAATACTTGAAAATAACAATGCAACAAAAAATGTTATGGCACAGTTGACGCATGAACTATTTATTTTTTTCAGAGATTCTACATAAAAAAATATTTACTTAGACTTGATTGTAAGTGTTACTGTCCACCTATTGCAGTTTCTTCAAAATCTGACCAAATTGCAAATTTTCCATCAAATCAAAACTGTCAGACTGAAAAATTTGGATAGCAACACTTACAGTCAAGTCACTGTAACAGATTTAAAATTTTTCAATCAAATATGACAATGGAAAAAAATATTTTTAATTGTGCTATAATCATCTGATCAATTAAAAATTAAATAGTCCATACTTCGAACAAAAACTAAATCTTCCTTCAGAAAATCATCTTTATAATCAAATTCTTCACAAAGATTCTAAAAACAGAGTTTATCAAAGAAAGCATAAACTAAAAACAATTTTTACACTATAGTCAACAAAGGTTTATAATTCGTCAGATTAACACATGATTTAGTTTAATATATGTCTTTATGATTCAACCACAATATGTGAGCTATAGTGATCTTTTTCACACATTTGAATTTTTATATCAGTCTTTTCTGTCACTATGGGAACATCAACAAACAAGCACCAAACTCTGCCATTCTAAATTATCCAATCACATCTTGACAAGCATTGGACTGACCAATGAATTGGCCTTCTCAGCTCCTTGCAATTTTTCAACAATTTTCAAAGCAAATTCGAAAGTTGTTCCTGGTCCTCTGCTGGTGATCACCTTACCATCGTTAACAACACGGTCTTCTGAATACTTGTACCCACCTATTAATGATAAAAAAGAACTGTATATTTTTTTTATATATGTTAACAAATATATGAACACTGTACAATTAAGCGTTTTTAAAAACTCAGGCTACATCCCAAAGCCTGATTAATGGGATGGTAATACAAATTCAGAGGAGATAATTCTTAATTTAGAAGATAAATGATTAATTTCCTGTTGCTTGTAGTTTTGTAACTAAAGAATCTAATCATGAAAATATAAAATAAATGGAGAATGTGTATGTTGAAATAACCAAATAATCCTGCTTTTCTGTAAATATACTGAAAAGCATCTAAATAATTTATAAAACAAACAATATACTCAATTAGTCAAACCACTTTATACTTAATAAATCAGAATTTATTTTCCTCAGAAAAGAGACATGGGAGGATTGAAACAACTGTGATAAGTTTTTACAGGTAGGTAGATAGATAGATTTCAGAAATAAATAAAATGTCGTCCATGAATGCCACAGCTATACATACAATTCTGTTGAAACCCCTAAACTCATCATAAAAATACAGGCACAGATTTCTCGTCATTATACTTATTGATTGATTGATCTTGGTATAAAATTCAGTGGCAAATATATGTGCAACTTAAACAATAGATCAAATAAGTCAAAGAATTTCAACAGGGATACAGGACTAGAAATTCAAACTGTCATTGGTAATACATGTAAGAGAGAGAAATTAAAGAACCTTAGTGAGCACGCTCACATACCCCACGTCCCCACATTGTCACTGGAGAAATAAAATAACTGTAAGAAAAAAAAATTGTATAAAAAAAAAAAATTGAATCATAATTTCCTGTCGATATGCACATCTACATAGTATGTCCTTATTATCTACAAAGTTTCATGAAATTCTGTTGTGTGGTTTCAGAGGAGTTGCGATGACAAACTGTTGCAGAGGTATATTGAAGCAAATAAGTTCAAATGGGCATAACTCCTAGAAAAATCAAAGCGCGAAAGCGCTGTAAAGGCAGTTAATTACAGGTTGTGTGTATTTTTAGTCCAGTTATATCATTATCTTGCATAGTACATTGTACTTATCAGAGGTGGCTTTCAGTATTTAAGATTTAGAGTTCTCTAATGATATTGAACAAGTTTTATGAATGTCATATTCTGAGCACTATATGAAGGCGATTGTTCTCACTTGTTTATGAACTAGTGCATTATGTCCAGTTTGTACCTTTTTTATCTATGTTTATAGTCAAATACTGTTTAAAATAGTTTGGCATTTTCTTTTTAGTAATAAATAAATGTTATCAACTGTATTTTATTCAACTTTGCAAATGTAGTTTGTTACTGGTAGGTACAATGTATGGATGATAGTTGTTTCATTGGCAATCATAACACATCTCCTTATTTATATAATGATCTATATTCAACGACCTCAGGCACAAAAAAAATGTATGTAACTAAACTATGATGGGAAACCTTTGACTTCTTTCTTTTATATAAACTTTTGATTTGGTACCATAGAACTATGTAAAATAAATGTACATTGCAACATGTCAACTCTTTCAATGACAATACTTTTTTTAGAAACTATAACTCCAAGCAAAATTATATTTCCAAGTATAAAGTAATTTATGAATGAAACAAGAGTGCACACGCTGAAATGTCTCGCCTTCTTTACTAATCATTGATATTATGTTGATAGTCCTAAATATAAAGCTTTATTACAACAGTCACATAAACTTAACATTAACTAAGTAAACTAAACATTGACCAATGAACCAAGAAAATGAGGTCAAGGTTAGATGAACCATGCTAGGCAGGCATGTACAGCTAACAATTCTTCCATACAACAAATATAGTTGACCTATTGCTTATAGTTTAAGAAAAACAGACCAAAACACAAAAACTTAAAACTGAGCAATGAACCTTGAAAATGAGGTAAAGGTAAAAAAAAACCTGCGTGACTGACAAATAGATCCTAAAATATTTCCATACACCAAATATAGTTGAACTATTGCATATAGTATTAGAAAAAAGACCAAAACTCAAAAACTTAACTTTGACCACTGAACCATGAAAATAAGGTCAAGGTCAGATGACACCTGCCAGCTAGACATGTACACCTTACAATCATTCCATACACCAAATATAGTAGACCTATTGCATACAGTATAAGAAAAACAGACCAAAACACAAAAACTTAACTATAACCACTGAACCATGAAAATGAGGTCAAGGTCAGATGACACCTGCCAGTTGGACATGTACACCTTACAGTCCTTCCATACACTGAATATACTAGACCTATTGCTTATAGTATCTGAGATATGGACTTGACCACCAATACTTAACCTTATTCACTGATCCATGAAATGAGGTCGAGGTCAAGTGAAAACTGTCTGACGGGCATGAGGACCTTGCAAGGTACGCACATACCAAATATAGTTATCCTATTACTTATAATAAGAGAGAATTTAACATTACAAAAAATCTGAACTTTTTTTTCAAGTAGTCACTGAACCATGAAAATGAGGTCAAGTACATTGGACATGTGACTGACGGAAACTTCGTAACATGAGGCATCCATATACAAAGTATGAAGCATCCAGACCTTCCACCTTCTAAAATATAAAGCTTTTAAGAAGTAAGCTAACGCCGCCGCCGGATCACTATCCCTATGTTGAGCTTTCTGCAACAAAAGTCGCAGGCTCGACAAAAAGGAGTTCTTAATTAAGAAATAAACTGATTCGCTGAGCGCAGCTGGATACACCCGCAGAGGTCCAACCCTGAACAGTTGGGGCAAAAATGGACACAATATTCAAGCTTGATACAGGTCTGAATTTGGATTGTAATTAAATATTTGACATATTATAGTTTCTGAATAAATGTAGTCAAAGAACTTGAAATCAGTTATATGAATTGAATTTATATTCAATTAAAGATTTCTTGCTGTTGTGCAATACACTGTGCTGTTGCGCAATACCTAATAAACATGATAAATCTGTTGCCAGACTATAAACAAATAAAGTTCAATTTCTTCTCAATGTCATATTTGAAATTTATGAAAATCAATAGGAAGATTACATCAATAGCTATAAATAATTCACCAAAGTTTCATGCGAACTGCTTAAAGCATTTTTGAGTTGTTGTCCAAAAACTGGAAAATCCCCCCTTTTTTAATGAATAAAACCCCATAACTCAGAAATGTAAAATCTAAAATTTATAAAATTCTAAAGGGAGCTTACGGATTGATAATTTAGTCTTAGATGCAAGATTTTTTTTATCAGTTGTTTGTGGCTTTGAACTAGCTGTCAGTAAATGCGAGTACTCTTAGATCTGTACTTAGTGTCTTTTTGTTGTTTGGATGTACAACTACCCGGCCACGTACACTTGTATTTGTATTTATCCATCTGATGAGTTAAGCCTCTTTCAACTGATTTTTATAGTTCGTTCTTATATTGTACTGTTACACCACTGTCCCAGGTTAAGGGGTGGGTTGGGATCCCGCTAACATGTTTAACCAACCCCCCCCACCCCCCCCCCCCCCCCCCCCCCCCCCCCCGCTACATTCTGTATATACATGTATGTGCCTGTCCCAAGTCAGGAGCCTGTAATTCAGTGGTTGTGGTTTGTTTATGTGTTGCATATTTGTTATTCGTTCATTTTTTGTACATAAATTAGGCCGTTAGTTTTCTTGTTTGAATTGTTTTACATTGTCATTTCGGGGCCTTTTATAGCTCACTGTGCGGTATGTGCTTTGCTCATTGTTGAAGGCCGTACTGTGACCTATAGCTGTTAATTTCTGTGTCATTTGGTCTCTTGTGGAGAGTTGTCTCATTGGCAATCATACCACATCTTCTTTTTTATATTTACATCAACAGATATAAACAATTCACCAAAGTCAAGGTGAGACAACAAAACTTAGTTGTAAGATCTCTGAAATTTTTTACACAGTAAAAGTTTTTCTCATTGTTGGAGATTGTACGGTGACAGTAACACCTGTAACTGCTTAACCCATTTCTTATGCACTTTGGTTCGATAAACTCACTGAATATCATACCACATCTCCTTATTTTTATATGCATTACAATTTACATGTGCATGTTATTGTAAATATATATATATCAGAACAAACTTCATTGCATCACTTTTATTTATGCATCCTTTGGCCATGTCATGTTGGCACAATACAAGTTCTAAAATTACACAACATAAAACAACTAAATGTTATTTCAGATGAAAGTTTTGTTTCAGTTCCATTCATAGGATTTATTAGAATTTTGTGTTTTGCCAAGTCCAATAATTAACTCTATGTGCATGTGTTAATTGGAGACTTTTCTATCCCGTATACGAGTTTTGGAACTAATTCTGTTTCTTTTTTTGAAAAAAGTGAGCAAACAAATCTTGCACATTTAAACCTTTGTCTGCCATCACACTGTCACCTGGATCACATAATTGAACTATTCTACATCTTTCAACTATTTCACAGTCACTGGTACAACCAACATATGCATTAGAGACATAGATGACTAAACCACCAGGTGTCGAACATACATGTACAAGTATTTTCAGTGTTTCTGTTTTTATATGATGAAAAGGTTGCCTGAGCTCTAGGAGCTTTAGGTTTTATCACGGGATATTCTGTGCTGTCAATAATAATCCAAGTTGTAGGAAACTTTAATTTGAAGTTGGATGGCGAAAAATACCTGACTAAACCACTAAATGGCCAAGTGTTAGCCTCACGCCACTGTTTAAAAATAAAAACAATCCATGTTTACACAACATTCTTAACACTAGTTTTAATCTAGAATCTGGACAGTTCAAAGTTGGTTGTATAATGCCTCAATTTCATCAAAGTCATAAAAAAAATGATTTTCAAATGACACCCTATCAATTTGAAAATATATGTATCTCAAACAATGTGCTGCTGGACCAAGTGTGGTCAAAACAAATAAAAATTTAGTATACAACTCTAAACCGGTATAAAAATGCATGGCTGTGTCACGTGTCTTCATTTCAAAATTCTCTGCTGAAAATATAGGCATTGATGGTGTTTGCGTAATTCCATCTGTGAAGCTCAACATTAGCTCAGCAGTTGGTGGTGGACAGTCATAAATCCTGTCTGCAGTATGAATGACTTCTTCAGGAAAACCAACTTTACAATCAAAACTTTCCTCTAGATTTCTATTACAATATTCATCAAGTTTAGTTCTTTTGTTTTCACAGGAAACTGCCCTGATTTTTCTTTTTGCGGACGATTCAGTCTCTTGCTTGGTCCAGGAAAATAGGCTGGGAATGGCAGTAGAATTAAGTCTCTGTATGGTGGGTTTGCACCCTGAAAAAGGTTATAAAACATTAGTTTTTTGATAATTAAATGAACTTCCATTAGCAATGCATACTTTGTACTACCTGGCAAAATATTAACTAGATTTATTCATTACAATCTGGATAAAACTATGTTAGCCTGATTCAATGTACATCAAAATGTATGTTATGTAAATCCAAAGGACAAACAATGAGAGACTTATGCAACAAACGTACATTGTGTGTACCTAAATAACTATAATATAGATTAGAGCATGTCATTGTTTTGTTCCTGTTAACATTGTCATTGATATTTTTCAAGAAAGTCTATGAGGCATAGCTTATGCATTCCTGTCATTACTACATTAGCATAATTACTGCTAAAATAATTCTCAGTATGATATACCTCTTGTAAGAAATCATTATAATTGTAGCAAGCACCAAAAAATCTCAAACAGATCACATTGAATCGTAATCCAAAAAATTATGACGTCTTGAATTAACCACCCCCTTTTATTCTAAAACGATAATTGTGGTTGTAAACAGAATTTGGTTTCTTCGCATGGTGATTACATATATAACTATATATTTTAAAAAGAAAATAGAGTTTTACCATGAATAGTTTCCTGCACGTACTCTTTTTCAGTAAAATGTGCCTTGCAAAGAACAGCTGATTGAGATGGACTCCACGATTTCATCGTGTTCTCGTCCAATCTGCGTATGGGCCATGGCGTTGATCCAACTTTTCCTTCTTTTTAAGTCATTTTGGAAATGCATGTCCTCCTCTTAAATGACATCCAGGTACACAACAACAAGTACTTGGCATCGTTATTTAAAATTGCAACTGTATAGTTGCACAGTGCAGAAACCGGAAGTTTAAGAACAGCATCGGCTACCACGGCGCCACCTATTCAAGAACGATAATTTGCTACTTTATATAACTGCGAAATAACAATCAATAACGTTAGATGGGTTCACGTGCATAAACAGAAATGCGCTTTAAATTGTATAATATAATTCATGTTCAGTCGACCTTTAATTATTATATCAACGACTGAAATGATTTATAAACATCTAGATTGCAGATAACACTCGAAATTAACCCGACCTCTTTCCACACAGAATTCAAATAATTCTAGTTTGTCAATCAGTTGACTGCTTATAATGCAAAATACAAATATATCAAAAGTGTTTAAAACTAACAAAACACAATGATCGTTTCTCTATTTCCCAATGTAAATGAAATGAAACAAAAAACATTTTATATCACAATAAGAAGAGGAGAGAATCAACATTTTCCGGATCTACTTGGAGCCTAATGACCCCCCACGTAGATAAGTTGGATATCGCGGAACCAGAAAGGCATTAAAGTACTGCCTTTAAAAATTGAATCATAATTTTCTGTCAATATGCACATCTACCTAGTATGTCCTTATTATCTACAAAGTTTCATGAAATTCTGTTGTGTGGTTTCAGAGGAGTTGCGATGACAAACTGTTGCAGAGGTATATTGAAGCAAATAAGTTCAAAGGGGCGTAACTCCTAGAAAAAAAATTGAATTGTAATTTCCTGTCAATATGCACATCTACGTAGTATGTCCTTATCAACTGAAAAGGTTTCATGAAATTCTGTTGTGTGGTTTGAGAGGAGTTGCGATGACAAAAGGTTGCAGTAGTATATTGGGCAAATAAGTTCAAAGGGACGTAACTCCTGGAAAAAAAAATTGAATCGTAATTTCCTGTCGATATGCACATCTACGTAGTATGTCCTTATTATCTGAAACGGTTTCATGAAATTCTGTTGAATGGTTTGAGAGGAGTTGCGATGACAAAAGGTTGCAGTAGTATATTGGGCAAATAAGTTCAAAGGGGCGTAACTCCTGGAAAAAAAATTGAATCTTAATTTCCTGCCGATATGCACATCTACCTAGTATATCCTTATTATCTACAAAGTTTCATGAAATTTTGTTGTGTGGTTTCAGAGGAGTTGAGATGACAAACTGCTGCAGTAGTACATTAAAGTAAATAAGTTCAAAGAGGCTTAACTCCTGGAAAAAAAAATTGAATCGTAATTTCCTGTTGATATGCACATCTACGTAGTATGTCCTTATTATCTGAAACGGTTTCATGAAATTCTGTTGAATGGTTTGAGAGGAGTTGCGATGACAAAAGGTTGCAGTAGTATATTGGGCAAATAAGTTCAAAGGGGCGTAACTCCTGGAAAAAAAATTGAATCTTAATTTCCTGCCGATATGCACATCTACCTAGTATATCCTTATTATCTACAAAGTTTCATGAAATTTGGTTGTGTGGTTTCAGAGGAGTTGAGATGACAAACTGCTGCAGTAGTACATTAAAGTAAATAAGTTCAAAGGGGCGTAACTCCTAGAAAAAAATTGAATCGTAATTTCCTGTCGATATGCAAAACTACATTGTATGTCCTTATTATCTAAAAAGGTTTCGTGAAATTCTGTTGTGTGGTTTGAGAGGAGTTGCGATGACAAGAAACAGGACTGACGGACTGACGGACTGACAGACGGACGGACGGGTCAAAAACATTATACCCTCTGCAACTCGTTGCGTGGGGTATAATTACGGTTTGGAGCAAAAATTCAGCCTTGCAACAGGACATGTACACTTTACAATCATACCTTACACCACAGTTGGTAGACCTACTGCATATAGTATCTGAGAAACCGACCTAATCACGTAATTTTAACCTTGATCACTGAATAATACTGATCCATGAAATGAGGTAGGGGTCATGGTAAACCCTGTCTGACGGACATGAAGACCTTGCAAAGAACCCATATACCAAATATAGTTATTCTTTTACTCACAATAAATGAAAAATTCACATGACAAAAATAAATATTTTTTTTTTAAGCAGTCGCTGAACCATGAACATGAGGTCAAGTACAATGGCTATATGACAGACAAAAACTTCATAAAATATGGAATCTTTATAAAAGGATGAAGAATCTAAGTCTTCTACCCTCTGAAATATAAAGCTTTATACAAGTAGATGATGCATCCGCCGCAAGCTTATTGTAATCCCTTATCTCTCATTTTGCAACTTTCTTCGCAGGTGAGACAAAATTGAACTGTATATTATATAAAATAAATAAATTTTACCGTCCACCATTTTATCCTTCATACTTGGATAAGATGTAACTGTTATTCCACCACATATCTTGTGAGCTTTCAGAGCTGTTGGACCTGTAAATACAACAAACAGTCAATAATGGAATACTGAATTATTAAATAAATGGACAATGTGTCCAAGGGACACAGATGATGCCCTCACTTGCATATAACCTTATAAAGGGAAATAACTAGAGAACTGTAAAAGTGAAACCACCCAAAATCGAACTTGATTTGAGTTTTGTGGTAATAAGCATTGTGTATTAGTTTCCAAACATTTGATTGAGGCAAACTGAGTTTAAAGAATGGAAACGAAAAATTCAGCAATTTTTTCATATATAAAGCATAACTCTCAAACGGTATAAGTGATGCAACCCAAATTCAAACATGACCTTCGCATAAAAAAACTAGTTGAACCCAATCACAAGATTTGAGTCTTCTTTGAAAGAGCTTGAGGTTTTGTATAGACATCTGTCTATTGATAATGATCATTTGTTGACATCCGGATGGGTTTTATTTTTTTGTGTTGTTGGGTTGCTGTCTAATTGACATTTACAGCACATCTCTTTTTATTCATCAGATCCCTAAAATATTAAAATCACAATTTTCATAAAATAATTTAAAATATTTCATATCCCTGAAAAATTTGAGAAGCATCCTTATTTCTTAGAAATAAATATCTATATCCAAAGACTAAATAGTATACATGTCCTCAATCCAAACAAGAAAACAGGATTATCTAGATCTAGAATATTTTATTTTTAACTGTAACAAGAGTGTACACGCTGAAATGTCTCGCCTACTATACTGACCATTGATTTTTAAGTTGATAGTCCTACATATAAAGTTTTACTACAAGTATCACATTAACATTTATGATCCAAGAAAATGAGGTCAAGGTCAGATAAACCAAGCCGGAAATACATGTCTACCTTTAATACAATCCCTCCATACACAGAATATAGATGACCTATTGCTTATAGTATAAAAGAAACAGACCAAACCATGGAACTTCTATATTGACCAATGAACCTTGAAAATGAAGTTGAGGTCATTTGAACCCTGCCAGACAGACATGTACACATTAAAATCATTCCAAATATAGTTGACCTATTGCTTAAGGTATCTAAGAAAAAAATTTAACCAGGAAAACTGAATATTGACCAATGAACCATGAAAATGAGGTGAAGGTCAGATGATAACTACCAGACAGACATATACACCTTACAATCATTCCATACACCAAATATAGTTGACCTATTGCATTAAAGTGTAAGAAAACAGTCCAAAACACAAAAACTTAACATAAGCAATGAACCATGAAAATGAGGTCAAGGTCAAATAAAACCTGCCAGACGGACATGTACATCATTAAATATTTCCATACACCAAATATAGTTGACCTACTGCATACAGTATAAGGAAAACAGACCAAACACAAAAACTTAACATTTAGCAATGAACCTTGAAAATGAGGTCAAGGTCAAATAAAATATGCCAGACTGACATGTACATCGTAAAATATTTCCATACACCAAATAAAGTTGACCTACTGCATACAGTATTAGAAAAACAGACCAAAACACAAAAACTTAAAATTTAGCAATGAACCGTGAAAATGAGGTCAAGGTCAAATAAAACTTGCCAGACTGACATGAACATTGTAAAATATTTCCATACACCAAATACAGTTGACCTATTGCATACAGTATTAGAAAAACAGACCAAAACACAAAAACTAAACTATGACCACTGAACCATGAAAATGAGGTCAAGGTCAGATGGCACCTGCCAGTTGGACATGTACACCTTACTATCATTACATACACCAAATATAGTAGACCTATTGCTTATAGTATCTCAGATATGGACTTGACCACGAAAACTTAACCTTGTTCACTGATCCATGAAATGAGGTTGAGGTCAAGTGAAAACTGTCTGACGGGCATGAGGACCTTGCAAGGTATGCACATACCAAATATAGTTATCCTATTACTTATAATAAGAGAGAATTTAACATTCCAAAAAATCTGAACTTTTTTTTCAAGTAGTCACTGAACCATGCAAATGAGGTCAAGGACATTGGACATGTGACTGACGGAAACTTCGTAACATGAGGCATCTATATACAAAGTATGAAGCATCCAGGTCTCCCACCTTCTAAAATATAAAGCTTTTAAGAAGTTAGCTAACGCCGCCGCCGCCGCTGCCGAATCACTATCCCTATGTCGAGCTTTCTGCGACAAAAGTCGCAGGCTCGACAAAAATGTTGGAAATATCAACAACAGAATGCAGTTTATAGTAAGTTTGTTTAAATAATGTTTTGTCTTTTGTTATAGATGGTTTTAAACAACTGCTTAAATGATAAATTGCATTAATCTGTATTTTGTATAAATTATTTCTATGTCTTTGTTTTTGAAAAAATAATTAGCATTAAATTTTCAACACTGTGGAAGGTAATTTTGTATTCCCTCTTTCCTACTGTTATTTGTACAATTTTTTGGTCAATCAGAAAAGATTGATTGAAAAAATATAATTTGTTGGCATAAAATTTTTTATTTTATCATTAAAGACAATCATGCACTTCTCCTTTCCCCAAACCCTGGATCCACACCTCAAAAATGTATTTTACAATCTGTCCTAAACAGATAGAGGTATATATTGTGATCATAACAGCCAATTAAACAATGAACCATAGAACTAATTATAAATGAAAACTGAAGCTGAAAATTGAATTTAAAATGGATTTTATTTTTACGCTATGTATGTACATGTATGAAATTTTTTACAAAATGGGTTTTGTAACATGTCAGGAAATGACTAAAAACGATTTCATTACCAGCATAAGAAAGCATAAAGAACCTCTGAAATTTCTTACAATTTTAACTAAGAATCTTTAATAAAGTTGGAATACTGTAACACTATACCTGCACAAATAGCAGCTACATATCGTCCACCCTTTTCTTGGTCTTGTAACAGATTCCCAACTGCTGCAGACTACAAATAAAAAAGCAGGATTTAAAAACTATAAAATACCAATTAAAATAAGTAGTTGTAATGCATCGCTGTAAATATTTCACAACATAGTACATATGCTGCCCAAAAGGCCCTCGTGGGTAGATAGACAGGCTGGTATATCAATCATAGGTATGAAGAGGTAAAATTTTATATAACCAACAAGCTACAGGTAATACTAGCCTGCTTTACTAATAATGATTGAATACATCAAGATCTTATTACAGATATCACATAAACTTAACATTATAAATGATCTGTGAAAATGGGGTCAAGGTCGGATGAACTCTGTCACTTCAGAATCATTTCATACACCAAATAAAATTGACATATCACTTTAATATAGTATCTGATTGTTCGTTCTTGTTTTTGGATGGTGATGTTCCTTTGGCCCCTTCTAAAGGTGTGTTTATTTCACAACTTGTTCTTGTTCGCTATGCCTTTATCTGTAGTTGCATTTTAGATTTCAATCAATAAACTTAATTTATGTATAACTGGTAAATCATTAAGTCAGGTATTTCGTTACCACAAATTAATTAAAACTTTCACCAAGTTCTTTCATAGATACAAAGATTTGGTTAGGAAGTTTGGCTGAACCTGTAGACTTCCTATTAAAAACGAGATATCACAACCAAATTTTTAAAGTGATGTTATTTATAGTGCCCATAAATTTAGATACAATCCAATGTAATTAATTAATCCTTAAAAATAAACTTATTTTCCTGTTTGAATGGTTTTACACTAATCATTTTTGGGGCCCTATAGCTTGCTGTTTTGTGTGAGCCAAGGCTCTGTGTTGAAGGCTGTACTTTGACCTATAATGGTTTACTTTTACAAATTGTGACTTGGATGGAGAGTTGTCTCATTGGCACTCATACCACATCTTCTTATATTTATTCTTAAAGGTTATCAATTCAACACAGTAGTAAAATCTTTCAGTATTGTTTTAACGGTCCTAACATTAATTTTGTTTAAAAAAAAAATTAAAACATAAATAAATATATATTGCTTTATATGTACATTTATGAGAACTCATGATCCTACATCCTGTGGATATAGTTTACATATTTTGGCATTGCACAAGGTCATGCGTTTCTCAGACTGTTTATGACATCTTTACACATAATTTGTTGGATGTGTTTTGATTAATACTTTAGTCAGGGAGAGGATGATTTATTTATTAGTTGTAATTGGCTTTCAACAAGCTTTCAGTAACTTCCAGTACTCTTATATTGGTGCTTTGTGTCTATTGTTTTTATGTTAGTTGTGTTTGTGCTTGTACTTATCTTTTGAGTTAAGCCAATTGCAACTGAATTCTACAGTTTGTTCTTTTTATGTTGTGCTGTTACACCACTGTTCCAGGTTGACCTAACTATTAGGTGAGGGGGAATGCTCACAAACTTGTTCAACCCTGTGCCTGTCTCAAGTCAGGAGCCTGTAGTTCAGTGGTTGTCATTGGTTCATGTCTGTCATATTTGTTTTTCGTAAATTGTTTTGTTATAAATTAGGCTGTTTGTTTTCTCGTTTAAATTGTTTCACATTTTTCATGTATGGCCTTTTATAGCTGACTGTACGGTTTAGGTTTTTCTCATTGTTGAAGGTGGTATGGGTGACTATAATCGCTTATATCCACTTCATTTGACCTCTGGTGGATAGTTGTCTCACAGGCATAATGAAAAAATGGCATAAAAACATGTTTTTTTTTGCCAATATTTACAACAAATAAAATAAGATAAGAATAGCAATTTTAATCAAAAGATTTTAACAATGTGATTACACCCATATAACCCCTATGAGGGGCCCCATCTATGGCAAATGTTACTATGGAAATACCTGACAGAGATTATTTGCTCCTCCTGCTCCACCTGGACAAACCACCACATCATAAGGACCAGATTTCAAAGCTTCATCAAGACTCTTATCAGGAACAATTTTCACCTGTCTACTGCAGACAACTGGATCACTACCATCAATCCCTGCAAGTGTCACATCTATCTATAATAAGAGACAGACATATTAAATTTGGCGGGGAAATATTTTTAAGCTTAATTCATGGAAAAGAAATAGAGATGTAAAGACTGTTTTTGGTCAAAGTTTTAATCTACCATTAGGGAGCAACCATTTAACCTCAAAGGGGGGGGGGGGGGGGGTTATGGTTTTTTGTCTGAGTCAGAAAAAAAATAATTGATTTATCAGATTGTATTTGTGTCTTTTTCATGATAGAAACAATTCTTTTTCTGTGTTATACCAGCAAACAGGAAGAGGACTTGATAAGTTAGAATCCCACTTATCATGTTGGGTTACCCATTAAGATGTCAGTGATATGTCTATGTCCAAGTTATAAAGCATGGTATGCAATTATTCAATGAAGAGCTGAGCAGAGTTATAATGGCAGGGAACACAGTTAGGTTAATTATACTGCATATCAAGGAGGTTTTTCCTTTTACAAGTCTTCCTGTACTCTTCAACACAATCATGACAATGCTGTTTGAAATCTTCAATGAAATACAGCATGGGATATGAAGAGTAGGATTGGATGATATCATATCAGTAGGTTATAACTGAGCTTGCTTAGTTTAATATGGTATAAATTGTTGATAATTTTGTGATTTTGTTATCTATTATACCATTTTTTTTTAGAGTTAAGTGATTTTCCTGTACTTATTTTTATTTGTATGTTCTTTTTATGTGAGACTGTGAGTTCTCTGATCCAGATTAATAAGGGAGAGGGTTCAGTTCTCAAATAACTAGTTTAACCCCTCCACATATGCATGTCCCTGTCATCTATGTACATATAAGATACTGGACTCAACTTTGTTAATAATTTTAACCGTAACTCATCTGATTTTATTGTAATTTCTGTATATAGCCTTAGGGGACTAGATTTGTAATGTCACTACATGTATGCAAAGTCCCGCAGAGTTTGAAATGTTCAATTTAAGAGCCCAACTCTTATATGGAAGAGGTCAAAATCCTATAAATCCTGGTCATTGCCCCATGAGGGACTTTAATTGGAATATTAAACAGATAAACACATATTGTACTGTATTGCATAGACACTAGATGGTGAAGAGCTTGAGATATTCTATAGACACCTGTCTATTGTTAAAGTCTGTATGTTGACTTCAGTAAGTCTCTTTGCGATTTTATGTCATAGTGTTGCTGTCTGGTTGCACATACACCTTATCACTTAAAGACAGCCAATAATTTTTTAGCATCACAATTGAAAATATTTGACATCACAGACCAAAGCCATTATTATGCAAACGTCATTAGGTCACTCAATTGATGCAAAAAAGAGGTTGCCAGGTGTAAAATCTAGAACTTCCATATTGATGTTTAAAGTGACGGTACCCAATTTATGTAACAAAAAATTTGTTCCGGCGTGACATTTGTTCATAGGAAATATGTTCCACTGAAATTTATATCACAGAAAATATGTTCCAGCACTGTAAAATTTGTTCTGGAACTAATTTTTGGGCCAAATGTGAAATAAGTTCCGGAACAAAAATCATAGCTCCATGAATTTTATTTCAATTAATATTAAAAAGTTTTAAATAAGTTCCTGTGACATTAGTTTTAAACGAACATGTAAATATTTCATAGAAACTAATGAATAAGTTCCGCTCAATCATTATTGCACACCGAAACATTTTCTTGTTACACTTAAATTATAATGCAAGCTAAATGCTGTACTGAATGTACTTGCATGGGATACATTTGTAATTGAAGGCATGACTGTAACTATAGGTTGAAGATAAGAAATAAAAGTGATGGTAATGTATCATAATTTGTATTTAAGTTTTATGCGGTATTCCTCCTTGGTTCCCGTTAACTGTCATGGCCCCGTGTTCTAGTCATACATGTACTTAGGACATGGCAAAGTTTCAAAAGAGTATGTCTTTTTTTTCTACATGTCTTTTGATATTTATAAATGATCAAGTCACTTTGTCCTTTTCAAATTAGTACATACGTTCCTCTTAAACTATACTTTTTTTCTGAATGATTTTTCTTATTCGAATCTTTTCTGGTTCAAAAGTGTCATTTAGATATTTTTTACAGAGTATATAATTAAACATTTGCTATACTCCATAGGATCCAAACTGGATGATTTACACTTTTTATATATTATATTATTAATATGATACTTATTTTTAAAATGCACTTGAATGATAACTTTAAACTCACTGATGACAAATGCTCAGTATATAAGATAACTTGTTTACCCAGTGGAACATATTTCTCAGACAAGGAACTTATTTCACCAGATGAGGAACAAATCTCACAAACTCAGAACTTATTTCACCAGGTAAGGAACAAATCTCATAAACCCAGAACTTATTTCACTAGGTAAGGAACAAATTTCACCAACCCAGTACTTATTTCACCAGGTAAAGTGTGGAACTTTTTTTTATAGAGATGGAACAAATTATATAGAAATTACCATTGAAAAAAGTTCTCCCAGAACATATTTCCTGTGATATAAGTTCCACTGGAACTTTTTTCACAGGAACAAATTTTGGCTCACACATACACCTATTTTAATAGATTTTTTCACTATAAACATTTATTTAAGAAACAGACAAAACTTTCCAATCTGAATTTATTTTGTAGATATATCCCTTTTTACTAAATAGTTCCACAGATTTTATTTGGAATCCATCCTGAATCATAGAAAAAAGGGTTTGAAAGGACCTCCAAAAGATTCTGTAAAGAACGGTATCTAAATTGCACTCATGCAATAGTCCAAGATTGTTATGCATTTTGTATGAAATGGATGCCTGTGACATTTTTTTTTTTAAAAGTCGACTTTTTATAGACATTGTGTGTACACTTGAGTCTATTTTACTTTTTTTGCAGGAGACTTTACCCGTAAACATAAATCATGTGTAATATGACCGTTTTGTGTATCTTTACTACTATTTACTATATATATAGCTATGTTGAAATGTAAATGCTCTTTTGTTCCGACGTTGGAAAGTTCCGGGCGGAAAGAACTAACTAGCTGAAAAGTTCCGGAGGAACTTATTAACTAGTTACTTTGTTCTTTCTCTGGTTTAAAAGTTCCACCGGAACAAAGTGACTAGTTGAAAAGTTCCAACGGAACATATCATAGACTAATTGTTTAATGCCTAAAGAAACCTATAAGATATCCGCCGTTTATTGTGCAAAATGGGTACTCGGTGCAATTTTTTTTTGGATACTGTTAGTATTACGTTAGAGGTACATACTCCTCCCCGTCTTAAAACATCGACTGTAATGACGGTTTCCATTTCTTCTGCACCTTCGGCGAGTAGAACGAGTGCACTTGGCATTTTTGTGTTTGCTAAAAGCTGTCACTGTGCAATTCAATATCTTAAAGTGAGCAATTTAAAAAAAAATAGGTATAAAAGAAAATTTTGGAAAAATATAAAATTCAGGAGCACAATGCAACTTGATTCAACCTCGTACTAATGCTTAGTTTAAACGTACGCAAGATAATGACTTCTTATTCCATAATCTCTACTGGAGATATTAAATGAAGATTAATAAAGTATACCTTTAACATGCATATCTAAAATAAAACTAAAAAGAACAATTAAAAATATAACGTTTGATTTTTGGAAAAAATTATTTGGAGATAAAAACAATTCTGTTTAATTTTGTATCCAGGTTCGAGGTTTCGGATGTTTGGTTGTTATGCACTAATGGGCATGCGCAACATCACTCGCGCCGACAAAAAACTTGTTTATTCTGCATGTAAAATAGAAAAACAATTGATTCTGACTTAATTTACTAATTCCACGTGGATAGTTTAATCTTATATTGACATAGTCTGCAAATAACTCTTCAAAACTGATTACTGAAGCAACATTTTCAGGCAACACGTGGGTAAACGGGCACCTGTTCGTAAATATTTGGTAACCGGAGCAGCAACCAAATGTAAACAACTTTCTAGAGTGTCAAGATGAAAGCATTTTTAAAGGGAAATGATGGTTCTGCATTTACCTTAGCCCCCAAAGTGACAACTGTTGGACGTGAAGGTTGTGATATCAACTTACAGGTATAGATTTATTGAATATTTTTATTAAAAAAAGTGTATGTACCCCGAAAAGCCAAAGTCTTGGGCCCTTTTCTCTGAAAAAAATCAACTATATATGGCTTAATATCATACAAGGTACTCAACTCACATGTTTGAGAAGTGACACTTGGTCTTAAAGTTTCGTTAAATTTCGATTCTGTGGTTGTTTATCCCACTGAAACATGTTATGTCCTAAATATACATTTTAAAGGAAGCAAGACAACTTGCCCCACTGCAAAAACGCCCCAGACACAACCTACTTTCCACCAACTTGCCCCACTCATATTTACCATCTCAAACCACCATTGAAAAGGAGTTACATGTAATTCCAGCTTAATTTAGGCCTGCCAACTCGTTCTACTTATGAAAAAGAGTAGAATCCTGATGAATTGAGGCCTACCAATTCGCCCCACTTCTGAAATGGAGTTTAATCTACACAATCGTCCATCTACAAAAGACTCATCAGAGATCTAATCAATAAAGTTAAAACGGTCAAATAAAGAAGGAAATTGAAGAGCATTGTGGGATTAAACTTCTTTTAAATAGTGGGCTGGTCAGCCTGAAATCATTGGGATTAAACTACATTTCATAAGTTGGGCAATTTAGTAGGGCTAAATTCAGCGGGATTTAAATCTTTTCCATGTGTTGAACGAGTTGGAATAGCCCCAAATTCAGCGGAATTTAATTCTTTTTTATAAGTGGGGTGAGTTGGCAAACCTTTATTCATCAGGATTAAACAACTTTTCAAAGTAGGGTGAGTTGGTAGGCATAAAATCATTGTGATTAAACTACATTTCATAAGTAGGGCTATTTGGTAGACCCAAATTCAGCGGGATACAACTCTTTTTCATAAGCGGGGAAGTTTGCAGGCTTAAATTCTGTAGGATAAAAAATGCACAAGACTCATTTATAGATATAGGAGAAAGCAACAAAATTACAACAAGTAAAAAATAAAATACTGAATTCAAAAAGGGGAAGTAAAAAAAAAATGACATAACCAAAGGTGACTATTAACCAACTGAACTACTAGAGAACAACTGTCATATAATCTGCTTGGTACAGGCAACAGATGCTAGATACATTTGTAATTTGAAATAAAGCAACTTTAAGAAGAATGTATATATACAAATATATAAGTTTGGCTCTTATGATAAATTTCTTGATCCTTCACTAATGCCTAGTGTTGTCATGTACAGAATATTTACCTGTGTATACTAACTTTTGTTTTCAAATGCTTTTTCATAATAAATTTCACTAATATTACAGACACAAGGTGTTGACCTTCAACATAGTGTTATTGAGTACAGTGAACAAGAAGATGGTTATGTGCTGCAAGATTTGAACACATCCCAAGGAACATATGTAAATGAATGCAGAGTTCAGAATGCTACTGTCAGATTGGCGCCTGGAGACCTAATAAAGTTTGGATATAATGGTGTACCATTCATATTAGAAATTGAAAATCCACCACCAGTAAGTGAACATTTCTGTTGTAATGATACAATTATATATGTCAACATTTTGCTCTTGCAATGATGCAGTTAGGATTAAGAATTATGGTAGTTGATCTGAGTATATGATTTCACAAAAAAAGAACAGCAATATATATTTTTGAAAGTTTAAAAAAAAATTTATATATAAAAAAAGAACTTAGAAATTCAGTAAAATATATATTTGTGGCATAATTGATTTTTAACAGATGTTCAATAACAAATATTTCAAATTAAATTTCATACATATACATTCTATGTATAACAAAAATTAAAATTAGAAGTTACCTTTTAAAACCAGTTGCCCAAAATCAGAAAGAAAAAGAGTAGTGGTAAATTTGTAGTTTATCCTCCCTTGATAAAACATTTATTTATTAACCATGTCAAAAAGATACACAGGCTCATGTTTCATTATCATAGCTGAATAATCACATGTCACTTCATTTGTTATTGTTATAATTCTCATTTAAGGAGCGACAGTTTTCACAAAGTCAGTTAAGATCATCCACTCAGGTAGAGTAACATTGTTTAAAATATTTCACTTTCAATAGACCTGAATGTTCTTTTCTCATGGTGATGGTTGTTTTTCCTTTCTGTCTTGTCTACAGTACATTAAGGCTTGCAGGCACTTTAAAACGGGTTTGATACCAAACATGTAAACAGTGACACAATGCAAAATTTACACCATACTCTTATTTGCTTGCTTTATCTTGTTTAGGCAAACATGTACAAAATGTTTATAGTGTATCTACATGTATATATATTCATATTCATTTTAAAAAAATCCTTTATTTTTGTTTTATGGTATAAGCTGGCTTTCACTAGTGCATCAAAGTTACACAAAAAATAAGGCTTAAACTTAATTAAAAGTCTTAAAATTAAATTAAATTGCAATTTTTATAATGAACATGTTGAAATGAAATTTACATACAGACTAATGGCAGTCACAGAACAAATAGTGCATCTTTGATTTTTGTAATAAAGAAACGTTTTAGAGAAACTTATATTTTTGTCAATTTTATATCATTGGTTTGTATATATTTCAATCTCATTTTACATCATTAGTGTCAGACATAGTTTTAGACAAACCTGTATTTTGAGTAGCTTCAGAATATGTATCTTGATTGTACTTTTTTGGAAAACAATAACAGATTAAATTCTATGGTTTCCACCTTCTTATTCAAACAATGCACTCTCAGTGAAAAGATTGATCAAATAGAGTCACTGTATTCCCTTGTTGTTTTGGTGTCCGTGTTTTTTGTGTTTTAATGAATTTACAAAACATATTTTCTTTTTTGGAATTTATATCAAATCATTTGTAATGTCAATTTATCAATTAACAAACACTTTCACTTTACATGTTAATTCATACCTAGGTGTGTATGTTTGGAATATCAAGTTAAAAATGAACATTATTGAAATACATCATGTAACTTTCACTCTACCATCCTCTCCACTCCCAAATGTGTTTACTTAAAAGCTTGTTTTCAAGTCTTCCATGTTGAATGTATTGAATACGTTGATATCATTCATAATAGATGACATAATCCCATTTGTATTTCATTGTTGCAGGAGGTTGCTAATTGAAAATATGTTGAACTAAATCAACGAAAAACTGTGTCAAAAAATAAGCAATGTCTTATTTTGTTTCTCCTGTTATGAAATTTAGAACAACATGTAAATTCCAACATTTAATAATAATGGTATAAGTATTACAGAATACAAAAACATAAGCAAGTCAAATGAATTGAGAGTTCAAATTCTCCTTAGATATCTTGAATATTACAGCAGATAACACACTTTAGTCAGCTCTTCCTATTCCTTTGTTTACTGTTTTCTCTCTTTTCTGTAGACAACTTCTTTCTATCAGTTAGCTAGATTACAACAGGTATGTCCACACAGTAATGCTTGGTATGACAGTAACAAAGGTATAACTACAGACATTAGGCCTTTTCAAATTAGGCCTCAGCAGCAAATATTTAGAAACTTGTGAAATTATGAGTGATAAAAATAGAGGTGAAATCTTGTAGTTTTTTATTGTCTGACTATGAAAGTTAAATATTCATCCACTAGCGCATGTCAGCTCTATGCTTTGGTCCATCTCTCTGATTATAAATGTGATGTTACACAAATAATCAATTTCCTAATCTGGGTTTTTTGTGGATTTCATTCTTATATAACAGGGAAATTCCATACATTCAATACATTTAGCTCTTTTACTATGTTTTTGACATTTTATACATTTGATTAACACACTAGATCTCTGCAAAGTGCATCCTTGAATTGACATAGTCGGGTCATTGCGCTGCTTGAAATTGTACAAGTATGTCTATTCTCTTAAGAACTTTATTCAACCTTACCTATAGAGTTATGTTAATTTTATCAATTATTAATACATTTAGCCACAGTTTAAAATAATCTTAATTAAGGTAATTAAAGTTCATCTCATTGCTCAGCATTCTGAAATAGTTTTTTTGCTCATCAAAAAGTGTGTATAATAATGTCATCTTAAACCAAATACTTTGACAGAATGATAACAATTAGATTTAAGCATATATTTATTAGGGAATAAAAAAATAAAAATTCTTGGTTTTGACTAACTATTGAACTATTTGAAAATACTTGTCTACCTGTAATGCTATGAGACTTACAGTTTAATAAGAAATGAAAATTATAGGGTATCATAACCATGATAGCATGAAACATGTTCTATTGGTGAGTTTTTTATCATAAATTAGTTAAGTTATAATATATGTGCATTACTTGGACTGCTGTTTTAGAATTTAACGATAGAATTACAAAAAAATGTAACTGTCTAAAATTAAGGATTAGTACAGAAAAAATTTCTGTAGATTTTAGCCTTGTTAATGTCTTACCAAGCCTGCAACCATAGATGTATCTATGCTGCAACTAAGCTGTCATTTACATGTTATAATGTAGTATGTCATGTAGGTCAGTTATTGCATGAACAGAGACACAATTATCATATTTTTAAACCTGTTAAAAATAGTTTATGTTTTTTTTTTGTACATACGTGTACTGTTAAACATTTGTTAAAGTAGAAAAATTCATGTAGAATGCATTTGAATTAATGTCGTGGAGGGGATTATTCCACAAAAAAAAGCATAAGATGATATATTCACACCACACTACTCTATAAATAATCTCCATAAATATATCACTGCATTGCTGTTAGGGATTTAAGCTCACAAAATTTGGACTTCAGAAATACATTGTACATATGATATTGTATGTTCATAACTTCATACACTAGTTCTTTGTGGATTTTGCATGTTAGAAATATTGAGGAACTTTGGGTCGTATCTCTCTCTTATATTTTTTCTAAGTATTTACCCAGTATAAAGTGTTTTCCTGGTTTTTTTCTCACATTAAAGACCTCAGGTCTGTGCATTGTTTTCATGAACATTTACAAATGTGGATTACAATCAAAAGTGAAACGTTTTGAGGTTTTTGTTTTCTGTTCCTGTGGGAAATTTCATATATTGAATGTTACCAGGATATTTTCTAGGTACTGCCTATGTACATAGCGTTTCTCAAAAAGCAATTTGAAATTTTTATGCCCCACCTATGGGAATTATGTTTTTCGGTCTGTGCGTCCATTCGTTTGTCCGTCTGTCCCGCTTCAGGTTAAATATTTTGGTTTAATAATGTTTTTGGTCAAGGTAGTTTTTTGATGAAGTTGAAGTCCAATCAACTTGAAACTTAGTACATATGTTCCCTATGATATTATCTTTCTACCTTCAATGCCAAATTAGAGTTTTGACCCCAATTTCACGGTCCGCTGAACATAGAAAATGATAGTGCAAGTGGGGCATCCGTGTACTTTGGACACATTCTTGTTATGTCTTAATTGCAAATTGCTCTGTATATACTTCAATCGTACAAAGGTTATGATGTTTTTGTCCATCCTGCTCAATGTCCGTGTGTCTGCCACATTTCCTCACAATGCATTATAAAGTAAGAACAAAGTATTTACCAACTCTGACATAAAAGTCTTGGTAGGTTGATATCTCTTGCCAATTTGACTCATAATATTTAAGTTAGCATTGTAATATAAAATTAAAATATGGTTTAGCTTGTTACTCTAGCTTGTACATAGCATGGGTCATATACATATCGCATGGCCACAAATGTTTCTCCTGAAAATGGCTGAAACTTCACAATTACTTGCCATGATAGTGACAATACAAATCCAAACAAGAGACTGGTTAACCTGTATATCTGTTAATCAATTTGTCCGAAAAAAAAAGGTTTTCTGTTTCAAATATTAATTTAAATTGAACTCAAAAAAGTAATGGCATGTAAGAAAATGTATAGAATATTGTCAATTAACAACTTAAAAGATAGACTTGTTTCCTTGTCTTGGGTTCAAAGGAACATGATTTAATTACAAACTATTTTTCTGTCAATAGGATAAGAGCCGTTATTATAAAGTTATTGTGCATTTAAAATGCATTTAGCAAATACAAAATCTCTTATAGTTAACCTCAGACTGAAATAATGCATAATAGAAAAATCGTTGTCAATCTTACATTTATTATAAGTATTATATTTGCAGAGGATATTGTTATGAAAACTGTAACATACTTGCACAATTAGTTTCACTTTATACCATGATACAATGCCTTGTTTAAAAAAAAATTGTTATGCATACCAAATTTTTTACACCTATGTTGTGTCAGTGTTTTATTTTTTTTTCTTAAAATCATTTATGTGGTCTACTTCAAGACTTTGTTCCTGCTGACAAAAGTTCATCTCAAACTTAGCTGCTGTTCCTACAAACAGAACCTTCAAATATTAAAGGGAAACAAATTGTGCAAGTCCCAATAGGTCACAGTTTTCAAAACAATATCCTCTGCTAAGATAGTGCTTATGATGTAAGATTGACAAGAATTCTTTAAAAGCATTATATTGCATTGATTTAATTCCCATTTGTCAACCATGATTGCAGTCATATTCCTGTAACAATCATTATAAGTTACATAAATATTTAAAAATGAATGAGTCCTTCTATTGTAAAATCTGTTTAAAATCATATCTGTTGACCCCAACGTTCATATAAAGTAGCCATTGGCTATAAAGTTACATCCATATGTAAACTCAATGGAAAAAGGCGGTCAAACATTTTATAATTTAGTAATAAAATTTACAGATTGTTCTTATGTTGTGCTGTTACACCACTGTCCCATGTTAGGGGGAGGGTTAAGCACCCTCTATAATGATTAATTCATGTAGCCAAATTCTGCATGTACCTGTTTTATTAGTCAGGAGACTGTAACTAAGTAGATGCTGTTGGTTACCGTCTGTCATATTTGTTTTTATTTAATATTGATTTGTATATAAATCAAGATGTTGGTTTTCTCATTTGAATTGTTTAATATTTTGTCATGACAGGGCCTGGATAGTTGTCTCATAGGCAATCATACCACATCTCCTTATCTCTTATTAAGAATGAGATGGTGCTCTTCCCTTTCCACACTTGAAATTGATTT